GAAAAAGAAGGTCACATTAGAGCAGTGGGTTCTCAAAGTGTTTACTGACGCTTCAGAGTCTCTGTGACTCTTTCAGGGGGTCTGTGAGGCCAAAACTATTTTCGTAATAATACTAAGATGTTATTTGCCCCTTTTTAAAATTGTGTTAAAAACTTAACCATCTTAACCATTTTTAAGTGTACATTGTTATGCAACCAATCTCCAGAACTTTATCTTGCAAATCTGAAACTCTATACCCATTAAATAACCTTTAATCTTATACTCATTTTACCTATATATTATACCCATTAATTAACCCTTTTTTCCCTCCCCCTTAGTCCCTGGTACATACTATTCTTTTTTCTGTTTCTATGAATTTGCGTGCTTTACATACCTCATATAAGTGGAATCATACAGTATTTGTCTTTTTGTGACTGGTTTATTTCGCTTAGCATAATGTCCTGGAGGTTCATCCATGTTATAGCATATGACAGGATTTCCTTGTTTTTTAAGGCTGAATAATATTCTATTATATGTCTATACCACATTTTGTTTATCCATCATCTGTCAGTGGACATTTGAGTTGCTTCTACCCTTGGCTATTGTGATGTTATTTGCCCCTTTCACTGAGCTGACATTTACACTGATGATACAAAAGCAATGGTGGGTAAAACTGTTGGTGCCTTAGCACAAATCAAGATAGAGGCATCAAACTGTACTAGTAGTTATTGTAGTCTTCATTGTCACACAATTGCAATGGAAAACAAAAGTCCAGTTCCACTTAAGAATGTCTTTTTAATATTCTGTGACAAAATGGGAAATATGCATTAAGCACTTCCGTTGCATACTGAGGTTGTCTGGAAGAAAAGCGCTTAGGCAATTGTTGGAGCTTATGAGCTAACCCTCACTGCTTTTATCATGGAATACTATTTTTTTTTTCCTGAGGAAGATTAGACCTGAGCTAATATCTATTGCCAACCCTCCTCTTTTTTTTTGGCTTGAGGAAGATTAGCCCTGAACTAACATCTGTGCCAGTCTTCCTCTATTTTATATGTGGGTTGCCACCACAGCATGGCTGACGAGTAGTGTAGGTCCATGTCTGGGATCTGAACCTGCAAGGCTTGGCTGCTGAATTGGAGCACACTGAACTTAACCACTAGGCCATGGGGCTGGCCCCCACTGGAATACTGTTTTTACTTGAAAGAATGACTGCCAGAAAAACTGTGGTTTCAGACTTGGATATTTCACATGCATTTTCTTAAAAATGAAAGAAGTAAAGCCTGTTGCTTTGAGCAAAACAGCTATCAGTTTTTCTTGCCAATGATAAAATTTGAGCTTTCAAGTGAAAATTAGAAGTTTTGGAAAATTTGTTCCTGCCGCTGTGAGTTTGATAGCTTCCCAATACTTAAAAGACTTTTTTGATAAGATTGGTAGATTGATAGATTGATAAGATTGGTAGTGATGTTAATGAATTTTTTTTTCTTTTTTTTAAGATTGGCACTGATCTAACGTCTGCTGCCAACATTTTTTTTTTTCCTTCTTCTCCCCAAAGCCCCCCCAGGACATAGTTGTATATTCTAGTTGTAGGTTCTTCTGGTTGTGCTATGTGGGATGCCCCCTCAGCGTGGCTTGATGAGCGGTGCTAGGTCTGTGCCCAGGATCTGAACAGGTGAAACCCTGGGCTGCCGAAGCAGAGCCTGCGAATTAAACCACTTAGCCACGGGGCTGGCCCCTGAATTTGAATTTGAATTAGAATTAAATGTGTCAATGTTAGGAAGATTTGCATAGCTCACTGAACCAATGTTTCCCAATATCTGATGTTAAAAATCATGCATGGGTAAAAGCCATTCAAAGTGCAAGATAAATCAGTGGATTTTAATGTTACAGAGTATGAAAAGTTCTTAGATAGAGTTTTAGATTCCATGTTGCAACTAACTTTTAAGAAATTTCTCTTGTTGAGTTGTAGTGTAGTATCAAAGAAGAATATCCACAGTCATCTAAAAAGGCTATTAATATACTCTTCCTTTTTCCAGCAACACGTCTGTGTGAAGCTGGATTTTCTTCATATACTTCAACCAAAACAACATACTGTAACAGATTGAATACAGAAACAAATGAGAATCTAGCTGTCTTCTATTAATCCAGACACTAAAAAGATTTGTGAAACTATAAAACAGTGCCACTCTTCTATTTTTTTGTTGTAGAAAATAGTTATTTTTCATGAAATGTGGTAATATCTAATGAGTTTATGATTGTTATATCTACATTAATTAATAAATATTTTTAAATTTGCCATTTTATTTTCTAGTATGGTAAATATAGATAGATATAACTCATGTGCACAAAAGCTCTTTGGGGTCCAATAGTTTTTAAGAATATAAAGGGATCCTGAGCCCCAAAAGTTTGAGAACCAATGTACTAGAAAAAAGTTATTCATTAAGTGGGGGGGATGGATCCAGAGTCTTGTCAGAGAGAAGTAGAAGGGGGGTTTCCAGAAAAGGAGAGCAGAGAAAGATGGGTGAAGCATGTGAAGTAGAAAGATTGCCATCGTGGGGAATAAAAAGTCACTTTGGGCTAGAGATGGATTATCTTGCCTGTTGCTTTTCTGTGTGTAGTATTTTACAAGGTCAGTATTTCCAGGAGTTCTGTGCCTTGAACCCAAAAATTAGCCCAGCTTTCGTGTGATAGAAATGAGCTGTTACTAGTTGATTGGCAGATTGTGAGTCCAGTTCAGCCCAGGAATTTGATTAGAATGAGAAAGTAGAATGTGGTGAAACAGAATCTTTAGGACTGGGAACTTTCTAGTGTGTAACAGATTTTTAGCACCTGCTTCATTTCCCATAACTTACTCTCATACCAAATCCAGAAAAAAGTTCTGCCTGACCCCATCCTATGCGATAATTTACAGCATTATATTAAAGCTCAAATGTTTGTTCTTCTCTTTTTTAAAAAAGGCATCTTGCATTGTAGAATAGGAAAGGTACTCAGCTCTGCTTTTTCATTTGAGAACTGTTTCTACATGTTTTTCTTTTCAACAAGTTTGCTTTTCTGTCCAAAGTAAGGAACCCTGAGGTCTGTATAGCAATGTGAAATCTCCAGTCAACACAGGCTAGATTGTTTGAGGGGTGTGACATGTGGCTTATTGTTCTTATCAGAGGTGCATTTACTGTGAGGCTCTTGATCCCTACGCTTCAAGGCCCCTCACTTGCACGAGTCCCTTTTGTATTCGTAATATTGAATCTTTTTTTTGAAAGACGCCCTTCCCCGCCAGTTGTATTAGCTTCAGGCGTCACAAAACCCAGTTCCGAGGAGTCCTGTGTGAGGGTCTCGGGATCCAGGAGACGGGGTCGAATGCGTAGGGCGGATATCTTAGGAGGAAAGGAGTTTAGCTGTAGTGTTTGAAAAAACTGACAGCATTTCTTTCGGGGCATTTATTCAATTATTAGCTCAACGTGTGGTAATACTCATTCAAATTTAAAAGGACTTAGAAGACAAAGTTTTAATCTATCACACAACATTTATTCTTAGCACCAAGAAAGAGCCCTCCTTTTCTGTTTAGTATGCTAAGAGCCATTCTCCGGGGGCTCCTCTTCAAGCGAAGCCTTTGCAGACGAGTTGGCAGCGTTTGTGCTTTTCAGACCCTCAGGCTCTGAGGGAACGTTAAAGCCTCAGTGCTCGTTTTGCCAACTCTTAACCCTCTCTTCTTTCTGGACTTTTTCGCCCTTTCTCCCGAGAGTCTTCCACTATTTGTTCTCCCCATAATTACCATGTAATGACAAGAACAGCGGCAGCAACGGCACAGTACTGTGCTGACTACTCAACCTACATTGTCCCTCTCAGGGAGAGACTCGTAGCTGTCCTTATCTGCAGATGAGGAAACAGTCTGGGAGAAGTTAAGGAACTTGCTGAAGGTCACACAGCTGAGAAAGTACTAGAGCTGAGATTCAAACCTTCGTGTTTTGATGGCAGTGTCTTTACTTGTTTCGTCTTCCTCCTGTCAGCCAGATAATCTTGGAATGAGAATCTAAGAAAATCCCAACACAAAGTACTAATGTCCTAGGACCTAGAAGCTTTTTGTTTATCTTTGTCTTCTTCTTTTTTTTTTGCTGAGGAAGATTAGCCCTGAGCTAACATCTGTGCCAGTCTTCCTCCACTTTACATGTGGGTTGCTGCTACAGCATGGCTGACAAGTGGTGTAGGTCCACACCCGGGATCTGAACCCGCAAACCCAGGCCGCCAAAGCAGGTGCACCAAACTTAACACCACCCCACGGGGCTGGCCCCCTTAGAAGCTTTTTTTTTAACACTGTAATGTTTTATTTTTTAAACTGGATGTTGGGTAGACAGGCATTGTTTTATTGTTATTTTTTACTCTATTTGTTTTTTATGAACCTTCTTTTTATAACCACAAAATATTTTAAAAGATTATAGAAAAGAATAATTACTGTATTTATGAAATACATTTTTTATTAATGCAATTCTAGCAATATAAAGTGCAAAGCAAAAAGCCCATAAATATCAGCACCCAGAAACACACATTAAGTGATTAATGATTAGTCGTTGATTAGTGATTAATGATTAAGTGATAATCGTCCTGTTTATTTACAGAAAAGATAGAGAAGAAGTTATTAGGATTGTTTTAGTTTCTAGTACGCATGACAAACGCCCCAAACCTTAGTGGCTTATATCAACAAAAACCAATTATTTACTCAGGCCTAGAAGTTCTTTAATGCTTGTTAAGAGATTTGCTACCCCAGCCAGTTTCAGACCTGCCCCCAGACATGGAGGAGTCTTTACTTATCTCATTCCGTGGCCTCTAGGCAAGCAAAACAGCTCCTTACTTCGTATACGTCACATCAGTAAATATGGCCAGTATTGTTTCATTCCTTTGTTAGGGTGTGTAGTCTCATGTGCCTGGTACACGTAGGCGCTTAATGAAGACTCATGAACAAAAGAATTAAGTGGTGATGGCTGTCAGGGGCTTGGGTGCTAAATGCCCGCGTCTCTTTTTTCCTGGTTTAGGTATTTGGCTCGAGTAGGGGAGCTTGAAGCTACTGACACTGAAGACCCAAATCTAAATTATGGACTTGTTGTGGACTGTGGCAGCAGTGGCTCCCGGATTTTTGTTTATTTCTGGCCAAGACATAATGGGAACCCCCATGATTTGCTGGACATCAAACAGATGAGAGACCGCAACAGCCAACCTGTGGTTAAAAAAATCAAGCCAGGTACTTATGGGAATATATTTTGTTGTCGATATCTCTTATCTGCTACAAGCATGAGAGAGGAGAGAAGAGACGAGAGAGAAAGAATGCTACCCTTTTCTTCTTGAGATTCTGGATAATGGGAGGGATATCTCATTCATTGCTGCCCCCTCCTCTCAAATAAATAAGTGTTTAGGGCCTTAAGCAGAACTTTATGAGGTATCAGTCTTCTGAGTCAATGTGATCTGCTTTTTAAAGAAAGTATTTTATCTTACTTAAGGAATCTCTGCAATGGCTGACACTCCAGAACATGCCAGTGATTACCTTCGTCCTCTGCTAAGCTTTGCTGCTGCTCATGTGCCTGTGAAGAAGCACAAGGAGACCCCCCTTTACATCCTGTGCACAGCAGGCATGAGACTTCTCCCGGAGAGGTGAGGTGCAGGGTCTGAGAAACACAGGAAAGTGGGTGGCTCACGAGTTAAAAGGCCGATTCCATGCTCTGTGGTTCCCTGGTCTGAGGGTGGGATGTGGGTACACCACAGAGTTGACGGGTGACACTAAAAGACTCCTTGCTCAAAATAGAGCAGAGCCACCCCTGCATTCAATTATTTCACAATCACTTGTTCACACTTTCCTGTCATTTGCTTCTTTGGGATCAGTATCTATGTCTGAGACGGCCGTAATGATCTTAGTTTGGACTGAGGGTTGGGAGCAGTGGTGATGGTGATAAATTTGGATCATGAGGCACCTAGAAGGGGGAGCATAATTACAGAAGGGTAGTAGGAGAGTCACTTGAGAGACGGGGTCCCTTGGGGCTAGTGGGAGGCCTCTCCTACGAATGCCGCTTTCTCTGTAACTTTGCCTGGCTCACTGCTGATAGTGAAAAGCTTAGTCTCCATTGCTTTAGACGTTTTTCCCATCCCAGCCAGTCAAGTCTTTTCCACTTGACCTTGGCAGTTTAGCCTGGTATGTTGCCACCTGATCCCTCTTTCTTTTCTGGCAAAAAAGGAGGAGGAGGAGGAGAGCGAGGAGGGGGAGAAGGAGAAAGAGGAAGAGGCAGCGGTTATACTTAGGTCAGACCCCTCCTTGTTTGTGATTTCTCCCCTTTGACACCTCCCCAGCCCCTCCACACTTACGGTCATGGGGTGGAACTAAGCTCCCTGATCTTTAGAATTCATCCTTCTGGAATGTTCATAGACTCATAGGCATCAGGCATTTTTTATTAGCTTAAATATTTTTCCTTGGTAAATAGCCGTTCCCTTTTCCATAAAGTTTCATTTTGTATACTTGCCCAACAACAGCAGAAACCTCAGCCACAGACATAGGGCTTCATGCTGCTGATGCCAGACGAGCCAGACAATACAACACATGTTGACTTCTTTCAGCAGACTTCTTGCCTTCTGTTTAGTGGTTTACTGTTGAGAAGCAGATTATTTTCTATAGCCATTTGTCAACATGAGCGGCCTTCTAGCTCCTTGTTTTCCCATACACTTTGGTCTTGAAATATTTTTGTTTTGTTTTTACTTATTCATAAAACCAAACTTTAAAATATTATGACTGCAACCTTAGATCCTTAAAGGAAGTCTTAAAAACAAACAAAACATTTATAATCCCACTACCCTATCAAAACTTTTTCATTTCATCACTTTCCTGTCTCTTTCTAGATTTATATGTAATTTCTACAAAGTTGTAATCATACTGCACATACAATTTAGATTTTTTTTTTGGGGAGGAAGATTAGCCCTGAGCTAACATCTGCTGCCAATCCTCCTCTTTTTGCTGAGGAAGACTGGCCCTGAGCTAGCATCCGTGCCCATCTTCCTCTACTTTATATGTGGGACGCCTACCACAGCACGGCGTGCCAAGCAGTGCCATGTCTGCACCCGGGATCCAAATGACCCCGGGCCGCCAAAGCGGAACATGCGAACTTAACCACTGCACCACCGGGCCAGCCCCTAGAATTTTTGTTTTTGACATAAGTGATATTCACATTGTTCAAAATTTTAGAAACTCTGTGAAGAGTATAGATGACACAGGTGGTACCACATCACAGGTTTGTGCATGGCCTGAGATCTCACAACCAAGGAAAGAGAAGGAGGGCCAGAGAAACAGCTGAGTCAGAGGTCAAAAAGGCAGAGCCTACCAGCAGGGTAATGGTTTGGCCATGTTTTATTTGTCTGGAGCAAAGGAGAGGATTGCCTCACCTCCTGGCACTGCTCAGCATTGCCTCTGTTTGTCAAAGAAGTTTCTATCCAAATAAAACCCAATATCCAGACTCCACCCCATTTGTCTAAGATGGTTGCTGTCAGTATGGAAGCTCTGAATATTAATATTTATTTTATCTTAAAAGGTTTTAAAGAATTTACTTTTTCTTTTAACTTGTTTTCTTTTTTTTTTGGTCAGGAAGATCGGCCCTGAGCTAACATCTGTTGCCAATCTTACTCTTTTTTTGTTTTTCCTTCCCCACAGCCCCAGTACATAATTGTATATCCTAGTTGTAAGTCCTTCTAGTTCTTCTATGTGGGACGCTGCCACAGTGTGGCTTGATGAGCAGTGTCTAGGCCCATGCCCAGGATCCAAACTGGCAAACCCTGGGCCACTGAAGCAGACAGAGCACATGAACTTAACCACTACGCCGGCCCCCAATTTTCACTTGTTTTCTGATCACTTTTAATAATGCCAAGATCTGGCCTGGGCTTATAAATTGATTGCTACCTCTTGAGCAGCTATAGTTGTTGACATAAGTGGAACTATCACTGCAGGAACCTGTTTTGTATAACTGATACTTTGCTAATCTATTAGCATATTGATCAGTATTCAAAATGGATTTGAATCACCTGGACTGTATTTTGAATTTGTTAGCACTAGGTTTTACTTCCTTGCCAAAGGCCTGCACTAACAGAATTTGTTCCACTTTCTTTTTATTTTGTAGTAGAACTACTCTTAAAAAATTACAAAGGTAATACAAAGTAATAGTTAAGATGAAACACTTTTTATTGTGGGAAATTTCAAACGTATATTACAGAGAACAGTGTAATGAATCCCCATTTACTCACAACCCAGCTTCGACAGTTATCAGCATTTTGCCATTAGAAGAAAATAAAGAAACAATACTGAATTTTAGAAATGAAAGTTCTATCCTATCCTGTGTAGTACATGAGTGTTTTTTGTTTTCTAACATAAATTGAGATCATGTTATATGTACTGTTTTGTAACCTATTAGAACTTAAAATATATTGGACGTCTTTTTATGTCAATACCTGTAGATATAAACTGACCTCATTTCTTCGAAATATCTGTATAGTGTTACCTTGTATGGATGTACCATAAATTATTTAACCAGTCCCTATTGATGTCCATTTAGGTTATTTTTGGTTTTTCATTGTTACAAATAATGCTGCAGTATTCTTCCTCTTTGTAGTCTTATCCGATGATTCCTTGCAATAAATTTCTAAAAGTGTAATAGCTGAGTCAAAGGTTAAGCACATTAAGAATTTTGTCATGGATTGCCCTTTAGTGAGATTGTACTAGTACTTTACATTCCAAACAGCAACGTTCGTTGGTGCCTCTTCTTACATATCATCACCAAAACCAGCAAGTCCTCTTCCTCGGGTAGTTTAGAAGCACATCCCACAGGGAGGGCAAAATAGTCCCTTTTATTCCATCCATGTGCAATCCTTATCATAAGAATTTAATATGTATAACAGTGAGCTGTTTTAGAAACTATACTTCACATTATACTTGAAGATTACTACCCTAAATGTAATTCTTCACTTTTAAGTGTGAACAGCATTCTTCCCTAAGTCATGCTGACAACTGTTTGAGTCAATAGAATATTTTTGTAATGAGCAATTTAAAAAATCCAAGATAATTGCTCTTCTTTTTAACCAGCATTTTCTCTAGATTCATATTATTACTTCTAGTTTTGTTTCTTTGCTTTTATTTGTCTGGTGATACTGATAACATAAAATTTTAGAGGAATAAACAACTGGATAGATACTAAGCTTCCAACGTCATTCTGAAATTGTTATGACCTTTGGATTTTGATCCTGATCTGGGTTTTTCACAAAAAATAAGATTTTTATAAAGAAAAAAAACCAACCCTTGAAATGTGGAAAAGGAGGTTAAAAAGTTCATTGTTGGTTTATGTAAAGGCTTAACTTAGAAGCTCGTGGACCTGCCAGTGCTTCCTGTGTGCTGAGGTGAGGCATTGTTTCTGTGTTGTGTAAGATCTGAGGAGGAGATTGCGTTCCTCGCTTTAACAGCTTCCTTTCATAGTAGTTAGGAATAACGTAATTACATGTATTTTATAGATTACAAAATTATGCTTCAATTTCCTGTGGTTTATTCATACTCAGCCTCTGAGAGTCTCATCTTTTAACACTATTTGAACTGTAACATTACATAAAGGAAAAACATTCCTGTTACCATGTTGCCTTTTAAGTAGGAAGCCGTTTAAACCTTTGTAATCGAAGAAGGTACCAAAAAGAAGGCGAGCTCCACAAGTGGATGGGGTAGGTGACCGGCGAGGTCGTAACAAGGCGAAGTAGAAGGTCAAGTTGAGGCTGTTTGTGAGAAGAGAGTTAAACAATTAACTTGTAGATTTTTTGTTCTTTATTTCAGGAAGCAGTTGGCTATCTTGGCTGATCTAGTGAAAGATTTACCACTGGAGTTTGACTTCCTCTTTTCGCAGTCTCAGGCAGAAGTGATCTCTGGGAAGCAGGAAGGTACTGGGCCCTGAGGGGTGCTGTGGGTCACCTCCCAGCAACCACGACACTGTCTCTCTAACGACACTGTCTCTCTAACGGGAGTTTAGGATTATCTTGTATATCTGTTTTTATTCTGCCAGTAATTTTCTTGATTCTGCTATATAGTTTATTTGATCATTTGCATATCCTGCATTGGTATCTGTTTTAGAATGCTGCTTCTAGAAGTCATAAACTTATATCTGATTTTAGCTTTGTGCTAAGTATGATGTTTCTAAGAATGTATTAGTATTTAATGATGATTCCAAATGGATATTTGGTTTTTCAAACCAATTACAATTAGCTAATTTTGAAAACATACATACTTCCAGGCGATGTAGTAAGTTTGCCACATTCGAATGTAAAGCAAATTATTAGATTAATTAAAGTGAAACTTTAATTTCAGGGAATGAGCAGGATGAGTGACTTTTGTTTGTTATGGGCTTTCCCTTCATTGCACTTACTATGCACTATTGATATGTCCCTAAAAGCTCACACTTTAGGGACACTTGTAGTTTTGGGGTGGAGTTGACTGTGTTCTCATATGGCCCAAGTGTGGCCTGTATGATGAATTATGTTTCCATTTCTTGAAAAAGAGAAATGGTTTTGGCTTCTAGTTGCAGTTTACATAGGGGAAAAGATTTACCTTTTTCAATTTCATTGCTGCATTTTTCAGTCCTAAAATTTCCATTTGGTTCTTTTTTATGTTCTCTTTCTTTGCTGAGACTTTTTATCTTTCCATTCATTGTAAGACTGCTCTTATTTCTTGATTATATAGCTACCTTAATAACTTTGTTTGATCATTCTAACATCTGTGTCATCTCGAGGTTGTCATCTTTTCCTTTGTGGTTTGAGGTTTGCTTAGTTCTTGGTATGCCAAGTAATTTTATGTCGTATCCTTGACGTTGTGAATGTTACGTTGAGGACTCTGGATCTTGTTTCAATCATAAGGAGAATGTTGATTCTTTTGTTTTAGCACAGTTGACCTGGGTGGTTTCAGGCCTCAAGTTCTCACCTGCCTTCTGTGGACTGTGATTCTATTGACTCATTTTTCGAGGCCTTGGCACTGCTATTTGGATTTCTCCCATGTGTGTGCGAGCCAGTGGCCAATGTGGAATCTGGGCATAGCCCATACAAATGGGTCGTCTATCCAGTAGTTCAGTTCTCAAAACCTTTGATATTATGTAGCATCAGATCCACGCATGTGTAGCTTGGAGGTGAGCCCAGGAGTTCATACACCACTTTGTTCCCTACTCTCCACGATCTCCCCAACACTTTCTGGTTCTCTGGGGCTCACTTTCATGGTCCTCCAGCCAGAAAGCCAGGGCTTTGATTTCCCCACTCTGTCATGTGTTTTCCGTGATTGCATCTGCATCCAGGGCTAAGTGGTAGAGGACAGAGGGAAAAAAATAAGCTACAGGGACTTGTCCCAACTCTTGAGATTACAGCTTCTCTGGTCACAGAGAAGGATTCATATCCCTCAGAGTTTTAGGCACCTGCCCAGCCTCTCCCTCCACTGCTGCGGGATTACCTGTGGTAGGAGAGAACAAAATAAAGGAGGGGAAAGGCAAGGGATTTCACCCTACTCTTTCTGAATCTTTGGAGTTTCCTTTTCTCTTCCTTGGACCAGAAAACAAGGTCTTGAAGTTCTTTCTGTCCACACCCGGTGTGTACTTTTGTGTTTCAAGCTGCTTTGGAGTCCAGGCCAGGCAATATCAGGGAAAAAAATGGGAAACTCACTACTGGTTTGGTGGGACTTTCACTTCTGATCTCTGTCCCAGTGTGCCCACTCTCGTTCCCTTTCAGATTCTCGGAAGTCTGCTCCATACACTCTATCCAGAGTTTATACTTGCATTCAGTGGCGAGATGGGGTGGAGTGTGCTTACTCCATCTTGCCCAGAGCCAGAGCGCCAAGATTTACATTTTTAACATTTGTTTTTACGTGTTAATTCCTATTTGTTGTAGGAAATTTAGAAAATGCAAATAATTTTTAAAAGGGAAAACCATCACAAGATAAAAGCTTTTAAATTCATACACTGAGACTGTGGAGTAAAATACTATTATCGGTTTTTTCCAAGAAAAGGAGGGAAAAAGCAGCCCTGGGGAGAGGTGTGTACATGGCGTAGCAGTAGAGAATTAAGCAAGGGCTTTTATATTTCTCACTCAGGGGTTTATGCGTGGATTGGAATCAACTTTGTTTTGGGAAGATTTGACCATGAGGATGGTGAGTAATATTGTCCTCTTATGACAGTTCTAAGGTTCATGTCATGACCTATCAGTAGCATGTAAGTGCTAATTTTGAGTTGTTTTTCTTTCTTTCTTTTTTTAAAACTTAAGATTCTTCGTTTTCCAGTTCTAATTTGCTTTCTTTTATTTCTTTTTAACTTTTTAATATGGAAAGTTTCAGACACTCACAAAAGTAAATAATAAAATGAACCTATATGAATTCATTACCCACTCAACACTTAGTAATGGTTTGCCATTTTTTTGCCCCAGGCTCCCTCCATACAACCCAGGTTTCTTTCCCTGTTGGATTTTTAAAAGCAAACCCAGACATACCATTTTATCTTTATGTACTTCATGATTTATCTCTATCCAATAGGGAATTTAAAACAAACAAAATCTCCACAGTGCCATTTTTAAACTTAACAAAGTTAACAATTCCTAATATCATGTACTATCCGTCTAATACCCAGGCAGAGAGTTCCCTGATTGTCCCAAGAGTATTTATTTGTAGTTGTCTCGTTCAAATTAGATTCTGCACATGGATCACAAATTACGTTTGACTGATATGTCTCTTTTCACTTATAACAGTTCACTTTACTCCTACCTCTTTTTTTCTAAATCATTGATTAAAAAAAAAACTGGGTCACATGATAGAATGAATTTGTTACATCCTGGATTTGGTTGACTGTATCTTTTTTTTTTTTGAGAAAGATTAGCCCTGAGTTAACATCTGCTGCCACTCCTCCTCTTTTTGCTGAGGAAGACTGGCCCTGAGCTAACGTCCGTGCCCATCTTCCTCTACTTTCTATGTGGGATGCCTACCATAGCATGGCTTGCCAAGTGGTGTCATGTCCACACCTGGGATCCGAACCGGCGAACCCTGGGCCACCAAAGTGGAATGTGTGAACTTAACCGCTGTGCCCTGGGCCAGCCCTTGGTTGGCTGTATCTTTGTGGGGTCTTTAACATGTTTCTCATCTTCCTTTCTGTCTTGTAAACTGAAGCTTAGATATAGAAGCTTCATTAGACTCAGATTCAATTCTTTTGCTAAGTGTTTCCTACTACATTACATTAGGAGTTTTATGATGTCTAGTTGTCCTACTTTTAGTCGTGTCAAGACTGATCAGGTATTCAGGGTTCAGGTATTGTCAGCCTGATCTAATCTATTATAAAAATTTCCCATCTACTTTTCACTTAATGGTTATAGTAGCCGACTGTGATCATTGCTTAGATCTGTTTTTTCATTAGAGGTTGCAAAATGGTGATTTTTCTAATTCTGTTATTCCTCTTGCATTTAACAGCTGGGATTTTTTTTTTGTGGACGATTAGCCCTGAGCTAACATCTGCCACCAATCCTCCTCTTTTTGCTGAGGAAGATTGGCCCTGAGCTAACATCCATGTCCATCTTCCTCTATTTTATATGTGGGATGCCTGCCACAGCATGGCTTGATAAGTGGTGCATAGGCCTGCACCTGGGATCCGAACCAGCGAACCGCAGGCCGCCAAAGCAGAACATGCAAACTCAACTGCTGCAACACCAGGCTGGCCCCCTAAAAGCTGGGATTTTTGTATAATGAAATTTTCTTCATTAACCATTTAGTTATGCTGAAATACAGTTCTTAATGGAAAGACAGAATAAATTCTTGATTCTTTCCTTTTATTTATCAAGTTTTTGAATAATGAATTGGTGTCCTATCAACTTCCAAAGGTAATCAGTAAAGTTTTTTTCAGTATCATTATGATCTTGTGAATCTGAATGTATTTGATGCGTTGCAGCCCATCACATCATTATTCTTTTTTTGTGCTCAAATTATACCGTCATTGGCCAGGAAGAGCACCTTTAGGTTGGCTCTTGCACCCTTTTAACATGATCCCAATAGTCTTTTATGTTTCCCTTGCTTTTTGGCACACCAAGGTATTCTATGCTCATCTTACATTTTTTAGACCTGGCATTGGCCATTTTTTTAAAGAGCCCTGGTTTCTTTTAGTCGAAGATATTATTTAGAGACAGTGGTCTGGATGTCAGGGGTGCTCATTGCTCCTGGATGATCTTTGCTTCTAGGTGTTTTCAGTGGGCAGAGCTAGGAAATATGTATTTTTTAGAAAGAGAAAAATAAATCATGATCTCATAGTGATAGCTCCAATTCATATTTAAGATTATGAAGTTCTTCTTTAATTTCTTTAATTTTATGCTTATATCCTCTTTCTCTTATGCTGAACATTTGTTCCTAGAGATATTAACATATCTTTAGGATAAAGATATTAACATAGGGGCCGGTCTGGTGGCGCAGCGGTTAAGTTCGCATGTTCCGCTTCTCAGCGGCCCGGGGTTCACCGGTTCGGATCCCGGGTGAGGACCTGGCACTGCTTGGCACGCCATGCTGTGGTAGGCGTCCCACATATAAAGTAGAGGAAGATGGGCACGATGTTAGCTGAGGGCCAGCATTCCTCAGCAAAAAGAGGAGGACTGGCAGTAGTTAGCTCAGGGCTAATCTTCCTCAAAAAGAAAAAAAAAAGATATTAACATAAACACTTATTTGCTTTATTCCATAGTATATGTTTAATGGTTTAAAAATAATAATGCCAATTATTATTAACCTCCGTCCTCAACCTCTGTCCTCAGCCTCAACCTCTGTCCTTCCTCCAAAACAGGCATTACCAATAAGACTATTACAACGCAGCTTAAGATATTGTTTCTTTTGTCATTAAGATATATTCTACAAGGGACATAAAGTCCAAATACCATGTTTTCGGGCACTTGAAATAATTCTTCTTTGTGTAATATACAGTTGATACAGTTAGATTAATTTATTTCCATTTGCTTTCAATTTTTTAATGAATTTCTGTTTCTGGTTTCTTTGGTTTTCCTTTTGACTTAATTTTGATTTTTAATTGCTAGACCCTTTCTGTTCCCTTATTTATTTCAGAATCAGACGCCGAGGCTCCCCAGGAACTGGCAACAGGACGCAGAAGGACAGTAGGGATACTGGATATGGGAGGAGCCTCTCTCCAAATTGCTTATGAAGTTCCTACCTCAACCTCTGTCCTTCCTCCAAAGCAGGTATTTTACCTTTTAGGGAAATTCAGTTGCTAGGAATGCCGGTATTTGAGAAGGAAGGACACTGTCTTTAGATTTCAGCCAGCTTGCCCGGGTCCAAACACTTTTTCAGATATTTGCTAGCTTGTGTTATCTTGGGTAGGTTACCTCTCTGAGCCTTAGTTTCTTCATGTGTAAAAAGGGAATAATAATAGTTTCTACTCCATAAAATTGTGAGAATGAGATAACACCATGTGTGTACAGCACTTAGCAAACTGACCAGCGTGTAATAAATGTTTAATACATTTTAGCAATTATAATTATACTACCTACCTGCTAGAGTTGCTGAGGATTAAACATGATAAGACGGAAACATCCTAGAGCACAGTATTTGTTCATTAGATGTTATTTCCTTTTCCATACCGATGATTCCATTCTTGTGCTTCTCATGTTCCTTACCTGATTAGAATGTAAAGAATGCACTTTGAGGGAGAAGTTTCATCAGAGAGGAAAAAGAAATACACTTTTTGAGCACTTTTTATGTGCAAGGAATGAGACGTGTTACACTGCCCCCAAAAGCTTGCAATCTGTCAGTGGAGACGGCCTTTGATAAAGCAGACCATGACAGTGCTGTAATTTGATCTAAACCAGGATTTCTTATGCTTGGCACTACTGACGTTTTGAGCTGGATAATTCTTTATTGTGGAGGACTGTCCTGTGTATCGTATTTAGCAGCATGCCTGGCCTCTCCCAGATGCCAGTAACCCCCCCACCCCCGCCCCCAATCCCAGTTTTGACAATCACAAGTGTCTCCAGACATTGCCAGATGTCCCCTTGGGGTGCAAAGTCACCCCTGGTTGAGAACCTCTTGTCTAAAAAGACAGCTGTGGCAGTGTGAGAACTGGCAGGCTCTTTCTATTTGCAAAAGGGAGCCATGCTGGCTTCATGGAAGGTAGGGTATCTACCTGGGCCTTGGATCATGGTGGGCTTTTGCAAAGTGGAGACTGAGGGAAGGCCATCTGCATGGAGGGAATAGTAGGCAGCAGAGAGCCCCGAATGTCCGGGGAATGGAGGACAGCCTGTTGCAGTATAGGATTTTCAAGTATGGTAGTAAGTAAGGCTGGGAAGATAAGATGAAGTTAGATCATGGAGAGTCTTGGGTGCCATGCTGAGGGCTTTGGCTTTTCTATCTCTAAAATAGGGGGGAATCAGCAAGGGCTTTTGAGTAGGGCAGTTCATATGGGCCTCAGTTTCATCATCTGTAAAAGAATTAAACTCCAAGGGTCCTTCCCAGCTCTCAATTTTGTGACTATGTTAATTGTGTGACTGTGATGCAGTCTATTTTTTAGGAAAATAATTTTGGTATCATTAGGAGAAAGAGTTGTAGGTCAGGGAACCTTGGGTGAGAAGTGGTAAGGGGCTAAACTAGACAATGTAAGTGGAAATGGAAGGGAGGGAACAGATTTCAAGGGATATTTTGGAGTGAAAAACCAGTGTAAAGTGGTGGTATGGGAGGGCAGGGAGGAATGGGCAGTGATGCAGAGGGTCCAGCCTAGATAACTGGAAGGGTGAGGAACCCAGTCACTGAGGGAGAAACTACAGAGGAAAGGGTGGAGCTGGTGCTAAGCGAACCAGTATGGTCCGGGTGGTTTGGTGAGAGCATTCTCTGGTCTCTAGCTCTGAAGTCCTATAACCAATGAGTTCAATCTTGGGTATGTTGAGTTAGAGATATCTGAGTAACATATGTGTCCAAATATCCAGCAGGACTGCCGGAAATGTGGGTTTGGCAATCAGCAGAGATGTCTCTGTTAGAGTTGGAGATTGGGGAATTAGGTTGTAAGACTTTTTAGTCTGTATTTATTAGTATGTATTCAACAGGTAAAATGAAGGCATGGTTCTGATAAGTGGCACTGAGCCTTAAAGTCTTAAATAAATGACTTTTTTTGTGTGTGTATGTTTAGAAAGCAACACTGGTATGGAAAGTATAGTTGCAAGCAACAAATTAGATGTACACATAGCAACATAATGGATTTTAGTACTTGGTAAAAAAAGGAGAGAAACAATGAGACAACACAATAGCACATTAAAAAATTTAAATAATCTTAAAGGCCTAATGTATTTTATTGTACAGTTCACAAAGTTGTGCACATTCACAAAGTAATGCAACCACCACTGTCAAATTCCAGAACATTTTCATCACCTCAAAAAGAAATCCCATATTCATTAGCAGTCACTTGTCATTCCCTTCTCTCCAGCCCTGACAACCACTAATCTACTTTCTGTTGCCTATGGATTTGCCTATTCTGGACGTTCCATATAAGTGGAATCTTAGAATATGTGGCCTTTTGTGTCTGTCTTCTCTCACTTAGCAAAATGTTTTCAAGGGTCATTGATGTAGCATATATCTGTACTTCATTCCTTTTTATGGCTGAGTAACATTCCATTGTTGTGACTGTGCCACATTTTGCTTATCTAAATGGACATTGGGTTGATGGACATTTGGGTTGTTTCCAGTTTGGGGCTATTATAGATAATTCTGTTGTGAACATTCATGAACATATTTTTTGTGTATACGTAAGTTTTCAGTTCTCTTGTGTACATACCTAGGAGCGGAATTAAATTAAAATCATAAATTAAAAATAAATACATTCAGGGGCCGGCCCGGTGGCGTAGTGGTTAAGTGCGCACGTTCTGCTTCTCGGTGGCCCGGGGTTCGCTAGTTTGGATCCTGGGTGCGGACATGGCACCGCTTGGCACACCATGCTGTGGTAGGCATCCCACATATAAGGTAGAGGAAGGTGGGCACGGATGTTGGCTCAGGGCCGGGCTTCCTCAGCAAAAAAGAGGAGGACTGGCAGTAGTTAGCCCAGGGCTAATCTTCCTCAAAAAAAAAAAATTCAAAATAATAATCCCATTTTGCAACAATACATACAAACAAATATTACACATTAAGCACCTATGATGGGGAGCAGGAATAAAGATAAAAGGGAATAAATAAATAAAAGAGGGGTTTTGGCATGATAACGTTCCACGAACTGAATTGAGGACTATGATTAATTCAACCTCTGCACCTGAAGTCTGAAAAAAAAAAGAAAAAAATAGAGCACCTTTTCCTTGGAGGTACAATAAAGTTGAACTTTCCCAATCCCCAGACCTGTCACAGGGAATATTAGAACTTCTTGAATAGTTCTCGAAAAGGCGGTCGAATAGATCTCATGATAATCTCCAGAATTCCATAAATTTACTTTTATCAAAGGAGTTTTTTCCTGAATATAAAAATCGTATATTTCCTTTGTGGAGAATTGGAAAATCAGGAAAGTACATGCAAGAAAATGACATTATCTGTAATGATTCTACCTTCTATATAACTATGGATAGTTTTAGTCTCTAATTTGGTATTCAGTCTCTGATTTGTACTTTTTTGTGCAGTCTTGTCGTTTGTGTCTTTGAAATAATGCTACGAGGATGAAAGAATGCTACAAGATTAGCATTTTAAAGAGTAATCATAGCACATGAAGCCTGGTGTATTAGCAATGTCATAGCTTTCTAGAAATCAATCAGAACTAAAATTCCCTTTTTTCTCTTCACGTTGTATTACAGGAAGAAGCTGCAAAGATCCTGCTGGCTGAATTCAACCTGGGCTGTGATGTGCAACACACTGAACATGTGTATAGGGTTTACGTCACCACCTTCCTGGGGTTTGGGGGCAATTTTGCCCGGCAGCGCTATGAAGACCTTGTGCTGAATGAAACTCTTAACAAAAACAGGTACATTTGACATTGGAATGTGTTTCTGAACTAGAATGTCATCAGGGTGCAGTATTAGGGAGAAATATTTACACCCTATTAAGATAGATACGTCCTTGTTTCTTCCTCCTTTCTGACCATGCTTGCCAGTGGGGTAATATCTCTTAGACCCTCCATTCGTAGTCCCACTTGATCTCAGTTAGGGTACATCTTTGTCATTAAGATTCATAAAAACAGGCAGCTTATTCTGGCGACCTCTTGCTGTGTCCCACCTCAGACATGGCATATGGGATTAGTGAGGTTAATTTAATCATGGATTTTAAACATACAGTTTAATGTACCTCCTCGTGGTTCCTTCTACCTGGAAGCTCTCAAGACATGTTTGTTTAATTACAGTGCAGTTGCATTTTATGTGGAGTTAGGTTTCATAGTGTGCATAAAAGCTAAAAAGCATGTGTAGTCAAAATTAACCTTTAAATTGTTCTCTCATTAATAGCCAGTTTTTCTTCCAGCATCACTGATTCTTCATCTGAGTACCAGATGAAGTAGTTAGACCATAATGTACAAACAGTTGTGGGTTTGTTTTAGTATTTAGAATGATTTTATCGGGCCGGCCCCGTGGCCGAGTGGTTAAGTTCGTGTGCTCTGCTTCAGTGGCCCAGGGTTTCACTGGTTCGTATCCTGGGCGTGGACATGGCACCGCTCATTGAGCCATTCTGAGGTGGCGTCCCACATGCCACAACTAGAAGGACCCCCAACTAAAAAAATACACAACTATGTACTGGGGGCTTTGGGGAGAAAAAGGAAAAATAAAATCTTAAAAATAAATAAATAAAATAAAATGATTTTATCATTATACTCATTGAAAGAAAGCATAATAGACAGCAGAGTTCTTTGACATCATAAAATTATTTATCCGCATTTATTTAGCCAAAAACACTAGTTTGACAAGGTACTGGTATATCCCATTTATAATAATTTCTCTACATCAATCAATGTCTTATATTGGGAGCATATTAAGAAAATATTGGGGACTGGCCTGGTGGTGCAGCAGTTAAGTTTGCACGTTCCTCTTTGGCAGCCTGGGGTTTGCAGGTTTGGATCCTAGGTGCAGACCTACACTCGGTTTGTCAAGCCATGCTGTGGGAGGCATCCCACATATACAGTAGAGGAAGATGGGCACGGATGTTAGCTCAGGGCCAGTCTTCCTCAGCAAAAAGAGGTGGATTCACAGCAGATGTTAGCTCAGGGCTAATCTTCCTAAAAAAAAAAAAAGAAAAAAAAACTTTGTGTCATAAATCTTTTTTGTTTTTGTAAATCTCAACTACTAAGAGCTCAAGGTGCTTTGGGAGAATCTTGTTATCCTGATGATTGATGAATGCATAACATCTAGCAGTGTATTTGTGTTCTGAAAATACTCTTAAGTCCACAAACATGTCGCTTGGGTTGTGGAGCTCAGATTGTTCCTGCTGGCACTGTGACATCTGGAGAACAGTTATCATGCAGGTTTCACAGGGATTTTGTTTTGTTCCTTCGTTAGCCGCTGTGCTTCATTTTCCATTTTCCTCTTTCATGGTTCCGCTGCTTTTTCCCTCTGTCTGCTGTTTTCCGCTGCCTTGGAACTTGCCAGGCTGCATCGTCTTCTTCCCATGCAATGGTGTTTTCTTGCCATGTATCTCAGTCACCTGATTCAGTACACTGATTGTTCGTCTTGTGTAGCTGCTAATCTGCTGGAGAAACCTCTGCTTCCTAGGATGTCAAAACTTCATGGTTCTCTCTTCTTAAAAACGATTTTCTGAATTTTCTTTATAGTTGATGTCACATCCTTAAAATAGGTTTCAGTTATTCCAAAGCTCTTTATTGTGTTGCCACATTCCCATTCTCTCCAGTCTTTACGCTTGTGGGTGCATCTTCAGCCTAGGGAGTCTCCTCTTCAACGTCTGTCTGCTTACGAACTGACGAATGATTAATTGCAGTTGGCAAAGTTATTTGGTCTCCACGTAATTTCTGTCCTTGGCCAGATCTGCATATTAATCTCTTTAGGTATGAGAATGCTATTGCTAGGCAAATACAGACTTTAAATAATCAGCACTGTGTGATGGCCACGGTGGGAATCATCAGCTGCCCCTGCCCTCCCGACTCAGAGCTAGGCGTGTGCTCTGTCACCATTTGCCAGCCATTGCCATTGCCCCCCTGCCATTGTCCCCTCCTCAGGGAACTCTCCCAGCGCTTCCCACTGCGCCTCCTACCTGTTGTTTTTTTAAACGTTAGAACCACACTCAGATGGTGAGATCTTTGGAATTTTAAGAGGCAAGTGGGCGTGAAGACCAGGTGGAGAACAGCAGATTCCCATCTCCAATTTCACTATACACCGAGAAATATGCTTGTTGACTAAAAGGTTGAACAAAATTGATCACTGCCATATTTCTCTCTCTTTTTCTTTCTTTCCTTTTTTTCTTTTTTTTTTTTTTGCTAAATTGACTTTGCTTAAGTTAAATGTTTATGTGATGCTACTACATGGTAATACTTCCCTCTAGGGATGTCATATAAGACAATAACAAGATATCTGTGAAGAACGTTCTTAGACCAGGTTTCTTAAACCAGGCGTTTCTTAGAGTAGGGCGAGTACGGTAGTGATGTGTTTCGTTTGTCTCTGTCATTGTGACAGGTTGCTGGGCCAGAAGACAGGTCTGAGTCCCGACAATCCATTTCTGGATCCCTGCCTGCCTGTGGGCCTCACAGATGTGGTGGAGAGGAATAGCCAGGTGCTGCACGTCCGAGGAAAAGGAGACTGGGCGACATGTGGGGCAATGCTGAGCCCCCTGCTGGCTCGCTCCAACGCCAGCCAGGCATCACTGAACGGCATCTACCAGTCGCCAATTGACTTCAACAACAGCGAGTTCTATGGTTTCTCGGAGTTTTTTTACTGTACAGAGGATGTGTTGCGCATCGGTGGCCGCTACCATGGGCCAACATTTGCCAAGGCTGCTCAGGTAAGTTATTAATAATAAAGGTGACTCTTGCTGGTGTTGGCCACTTATTGGATGCCTAACTTGTGCCAGGCACCGTGCAAAGAGCTTTGCATGTATCATCTCACATTACTCTTCACAGGAGCCTGTGATGCCTCATTTTACAGATGAGGAAGTAGTCGTAGAGAAGTTAAGGAACCTGCTGTGCCGTGCTGCTTTCTAATTAGTTACACGTAGGTTTCCATGGGTGTCTTATCACCCAGGTCTAAAATTATTGTGGTGGCTAATGGTTTTTCCTCTAACTTTCCAATAGTCTAGTTTAATGTTTGTAGCCAAAAACTGTCATCTCCAGGTATTTTTCCCCTTATTGGGTGTTCCCAGTTGTAATGTGCTTTTGGACATGATGTCGCACAGGTGGGCAAGTCCACTTTCATCTTCTCGGTTTGAGCTATTAAGAAGCCAGAGTGGTATAGGGTCACTCAGAACATTAGAAAGATGTTGTGAAAAGCAGTGATCGTGGAAGTATTATTTAAATTTAAAATGCAGAAGAATTAAAAATTCACTTCAAGCATATATAGGACTTAAGCATCTATAGGCTTAAACCATTAGTTACCTGGACAGGTAAAAGTTTAGGTGGCTCCCTATAATTCCTGCTTTAATTTAGATTCATCTCTTTGAATTTTAGTGTCTCTCTCTAAACTGTCTTTTATCAGAGAAACTTATGGAAAGAATCTGTCCTCCTTCTCTTATATTTTTTCTTCTTTTCTTTCTGCTTCCTTACAACTCTCTAGGGTTCTCTTGGTGTAAGACTTCCAATAGAATAATATCTGCAGTATGTGTACCATTCTGTTCTCCAAGGTCAGTCTCTAAGAAATATTGAGTAAAACCTGGTTTGTATTTGCTCCTTCCTCTCCAGCTTCCAGGAAAACCATTATATTCCCTTTGCTTTCGAGCGTCCAGGGCTCCCTAACTGCCTATGGCCTGACTCTTTCTGTCATTTTGAAACTTCTTCAGATTCTATTCCCTTGAACACCAAAGGGCTCAAGTTATTGTTGCCCAAGTTGCTAGTGGCTTAATGTGTTTTCATTCCCAGGCAAAAGTGATGATTTTGTTTCCTTACATTTTTTACTTTGACTCAAACATTATCTTGCCAGTGGCACCTTCCCTGGCCACTCTATCCAAAATTGCAGCCCTCCCCAGTATTACCTATTTCCTGTTCCTGCTTTATTTTTCCCATGAGTATTTATGTCATCTAACGCACTCTATCTATGTACTTGTGTGTATATACTTGGTTATTGTCCGTATCCCACCACTAGAATGTAAGCTTCATGAGAAATGAAGAGATTTTCATCTGTTTTACTCACTGCTGGATCCCCCAGCACCTAAAATAGCACCTGGCACATAGGAGACATTCAGGAAATGTTAGTTTACTGAACAAACCAAAAGGAATGATTCTTTTGGTGAGATTTACAATATGGAGGCAGGCCAGTGATAGATTTTTGGCCATTTTGTTCCATCTGCTTTTCTGTTCCACCATGTCAGTCCTACTACCTACCTACAGTACCTACAGTACCTACCTACCTACAGTAGAGTAGAATGGAACTCTCTTCGGCTCTTGATCTTGCTACTCCCAGTCCTAACCGTACCCGTCTTGAAGCCTAGGAGGCTCTGAAGCCACGTAAGGCTGGCTTTGTACTGAGGTGGATTAATGCTATAGGATTAAAAAGGAGTCTTCCCAGGCCACTCAAGTCACCCAGCAGCCTGAGTTCTAGGACTTGTGTTGCTCAGGGTCGGGCACTGTCTTCAGTGAACGAATATGCCATTTCTGTTTTCCTCTGTCAACTAGTAGCCCACAAGTAACTTTAGAAATGGAACAGCTGTGACTGTAGGGGAAGTTAGAGAGCTTGCCTCCAGTTTCACGTTGCACCGTTTCTCTGTGGTTTACTAGGATTACTGTGGCATGGCTTGGTCAGTATTGACTCAGAGATTCAAGAATGGCCTCTTTTCATCACATGCAGATGAACATCGACTCAAGTATGTAACTTCCTTTTCTCCCCTTAGATGTGGCCTTAAAATGTAGACAGCAGATTATAATGAAGGAGAGAGAGCAAGCAATAGTATAGATTGGATTTCATGTTGAAGGAGAGCTTGATTATTTCAGATTTTGATTTTCTGAGTGATAGGGGCCAAAATAGTGAGCCTGTTCTAGTGAAGCCAAGAGAAACCAGTGGTTACCACAGAGTTCTCTCCAAGTAGTTGAAATCGAAAGTGGTGGCCTTTTTTTTTTAAAAAAAAAAACTTTTTATTAAAATATCAAATATGCAGAAAAGTAGAAAGAACAGTAACATAAACTCTTATGTAACTATCACCCAGCTTCAAAAATGTCAGTATTTTGCCAGTTTGGTTCATTGGTCCTCCCGTTTTGTGAACATTTTAGTTAAAAAAAATTTTAAACATAACCAAAAGTAGAAGAATATAATGAGTTCCTGTGCATCTGTCACCCAGCTTCTCTACTGTTATCAACTCCTGGCCAATCTTGCTTTATCTTCTCCCACCCTACTACTCCCCTCTTAACACAATTGGGTTATTTTGAAGCAAATCCAAGACATCATGTAATTACATTTGTAGATATTTCAGCATGCTCTCTGAAGATAAGGACTCAAAAAAAATAAAAGAAAGAAAAAGGAAAGAAAAAGAGTACAATGTCACTATTGCCTAAAGGTGTTCTTCACGGTTATAAACATTAGGATGAAGTACGCTCAGATTTGGCTCCACCTAGAGGTGAGGAAGGTGAAGTGGGGAGAGAAGGGTCTTTTTTTCTAGTTGCGAGTATGCAGAAAGCATTGGAATCTGTTTTTTTCTTTAAAAAATTTAATAATTTACTTTTGTCACACAGATATCAGTGTTTTAAATCAGCTTGGATGTACCAAGTCCTTCACGAAGGATTCCACTTTCCCTATGACTATCCAAACCTGCAGACAGCCCAGCTGGTGTATGACCGAGAGGTTCAGTGGACGCTGGGAGCCATTCTGTATAAAACACGATTCTTACCACTCAGGTAAAGTGGCCTGACAAAGCTGGCATCGTGAGCTCAGAGGATGTCAGTTGCTGCCTCAGAATAAGTTGTTAAGTGACCCCCTCCCAAACAAAAAAAACAAAAAACACCCAAACAAACTCCCCTTATTACTAACGTGTGAACTGTTGTTACTAACCAGGTGTGTTGAAACAGAAAGAAGGTTGAGAATTATTAGTCTGGAATCTGTTCTTCATCTTTGCAATTTCAGGAATTTGGTTTTATTTGTTCATCCACAACAAATCAGACTTTAGGATTGAGCTCTTACTAACCACTTTCAAGGTATTGACTGATAAGCTAAAATGCCATTCTTAAGTTACTCTGGAAAACATACCTGACTAGAGAACTGGGGTAGGTTGTCTCTCTCGAGCAGTCTTTCCTAACTGGTAGAGCCAATCTAGAGATGATGTCGTTGCCTTGGACGGCTTTTTGGCGTCCCAGAATTAGAACAAAGGACAGAGATGCTTTTAGGGGGATATTTTCATCAGGCTGTGGTAGCCTGATGTCTTGTTCTTATGGACTGTAAGATATTTGGGATAATTTTTAGGTACTGTCTCCCCTGGATTATTTCAGATAAACTAAGATGAATTCTTAATCTTTGGTGCCTGTTTCTCTACACTTGATACTGTCAGAAGCCAGGCAGGTGATCAAAGTGAGAGAGGGGAACTGGAGAGCATGTGCCCCAGGGCTGATTCCTGTCATGCAGAAGTGCTGTCCCAGGATCTGCCCATCTCATGTGTCAGAGAAGCCAGAAATCCATATTTTATATGCAGTCTTTCAGTGGAGATTGACAGTTTTAAGAAACACTGAAGGTCAAATGAAACAAAAATGGATCTTGTATCTGGACCACAGAGAGGGGCTTCTGTTCCAGACAGGCAGACTACTGCACTTTGGTTTACCTGGCTCTTAATTTTTTTCCAGATTATAAGACAGTTGATCAGGTGACAGCTTTCTTTAGATATAGCCTAAATCCTCAGAAAGCACAGCAACTTTTTTTATTTTTTTGGTGAGGAAGATTTGCCCTGAGCTAACATCTGTTGCCCATCTTCCTCTTTTTTTTTTTGCTTGAGGAAGGTTGTCCCTGAGCTCACATCTGTGCCAGTCTTCCTCTGTTTTGTATGTGGGTTGCCACCACAGCATGGCTGTCGAGTGGAGTAAGTCTGCTCCTGGGATTCGAACCTGGGAACCCGGGCTGCTGCAATGGACCACGTGCCACGGGGCTGGCCCCAGCAACTTTTTTAAAGATTTAGATATACAGTACTCTGATTTCTTGAGTGCATTCAGGGGCCACCCTATTCTCATTAGTATCATATTTTATAGACTCTATAGGCCAGAGTGGAATGGGGTCACTGTTGAGACTTATGTTGCAGATGATCATTCTTGCCTTACTGTTCATTTGTTTGGCCTCTCATTTTGCCCCCAGATTCTGCGTAGGCCTGTGAGGCCCCCTCTGTAGGCCGGGGGAAGGTACGGGAGGAATCACATGGCAGCCTGGGGGTTGGGGACGTTCTTCGCCTCTGCTTCTGTGGAGCTGATATCATAGCATGTTTATATGGATAGAATAATTAGGCTAACACCACTGGACCTTTTAAATTAGCATGAATGTTTCTCTCGGACACTAACATTCCTTTCCTCCTTCAAACTCTTCCTAGGGATCTACGGCAGGAAGGTGTCCGACAGGCCCACGGCAGCTGGTTCCGTCTCTCCTTTGTCTACAACCACTATCTCTTCTTCGCCTGCATTCTGGTGGTGCTACTGGCCATCATCCTGTACCTTTTGCGGCTACGCCGAATTCACCACCGACAAACTCGAGCCTCAGCACCACTGGACATGCTGTGGATCGAAGAGGTGGTGCCCATGATTGGGGAACAGGTGGGGCCATGAGGCTGGACAAGGACTAAAGAAGCTTCAGTACCCAGAGTCGCTGCTCATCGAATTCCACCACTTTCTTGTACTAGCCTCGGATGCTGCTTTGCCTGACCTTGTGGATATTTGGCCCTGGAATTTCTACTTTAATTTCTGCTTTAACTCCTTCTCAATATCCAGGTCCTCTTCTCTGAGAGGAGCTGTAATTTAGTCTGTGAAGAACTAAATAATGAGAGATTGGTGCTAACAAAGGGGACCAACCTCCGTCCAGTTGAAGCATGCTTCTTCTCCTTTATCTGAGAGGTCTGGTGTGTTCCTAGGATCTAGAATTTTCTCCCCTTGCTAAAGCATGAAGTTTGGCATCAGGCACCCTGGAAGCCTGGTTAAAACCAAACTTGCAGCATCTGATATAAAGCCGGAGACATTCTAGCAAGTGCAGCAGCCCCTTCTTTCTCTGTAACAGAGAGATCATTTATGTGGAGATCCACAGCCTTTGATAGGGATCCAAGATCTTTGCAGTTCATTGGAATAGATATGAATTTCAAGGCAACCAAAATAACACAGTTTCCTTGCTTACTTGACAAAGAAGCCATTATGAGTGTGGTTCAAGATGCCTGACAGTGTTGCTGATGTTAGTTTGTGATTGTAAGAGGTTACAATCCCTTCTAAGTGAATGGTCCATTGAAGATTCTGACAATACGTTATCTGATGTCTAGTATGACCAGGATAGAAAGTTTTTCCATGTCTGTGTGCCTCACAGGCTTTTTGGGCATTAATTTTCCTTTTTGAGCCTTAAGTGTGCTTGTAGGATGGAGAAACTGTGATGGGGCCTGGAGACCTGGATTTGTCTGGTTTCAGGTCGCTATCCTCTAGGCCTATTTTTATGAGCCCTTAGGCCATAACATTCAAAAAGAGTTCCTTTATTTCACTGCTAAGATCAGTATGTAGTTTGGGAAGGGATGTATTTGAGTTTTTTTTTAAGAATGGAAGAACAATATCCGGAGAGTGGGCAAAGGCAATAAAATCCAAGCTCTTATTGATTAATGTTTTCCTGAGAAATAGAAATTTTCTCAATTTGACTTGGAATGTCTGAAAAGAAACAAATTCTAAACTTTGGAATAAATAGATAAATCTGTCAATAAGCCACCTGGCAACTTTCAGAATGCTTGTTAAGAGATTGCTCAGTCACAAACAGCATTTCCATTAATGAGGAGAGAGGAAAAGCCATATAATTACGTTTTCCTTCACTACCCTTCAGAGCTTTGCTCCTCGTCTACAGTTAGCCTTTCAATTACATGAGGATTTCTTTTTCATCAACTCCTGCCTTTCTTAATGGAGTCTTCCTTATACTCTACCCTTTCCTATACGTAGCCTTGAATGTCCTGCCCAAGCGTATGCTCCCAGGGTTGAAGTAGCTTTCTCTTCTTTCGTGTCACCTTTGATTTCTAGAATTAGATGAGTAGAGAAAAAGGTTCCTGAATTTAAAGGAAAAAAAAGTGGAATTCTTAAAAAATAAATCTCATACTTGGAGTGGAAAGGAATGAAATGCTTCTCAAAAGAGAGAAAAAGAAATCAAGACCCTCCTAGAAATAAACTGAGATGAAAATAAGTATAGCGACCTTTGCTTGGTTGATCAAAATATAGCAAGTCTTGAATTGTTTTCAAATTAGATAAAAATGGACCTAGCAAAGAGTCTTACAGTTTTTCTTTGGAAATATTTTTTGCTTTTCATTAGGGCTCATGTCACAGCAATTTCCTTTAGTTTTTAAGACTTCTAAATTGCCTTGATTTTCTTTGACTTCTTATTATCTTTGTGTCTCTGTGAGTGAGCCCTTGCCTTATGGATGCTGCTTATAAATAATGTCAAAGTGTGTTTTTGCTAGCCGCTGCTACTCAGGTAACTCTTTTCCCCTCACCTGGGTTTCCAAATACTATTTTTGGTTTTCTTGTGAGATCTAGTCAAAAGCTACCTGATTGGCTAACAGTGATCAGATTCATGTGCTCAAAATGAAGTTGAAGTGGGAAGGAGGTAGTGATTAGTCCAGTTTGAAAGCTCTTATTAGTCAAGTTATTCTTCATCCTGGTTATAACAGCTGCCATTTGTTAAGCACTTATTATGTACCAGACACTCTCTTAAAATTGCATGTATATTATTTAATCATTATGACAGCCTTTCAGATTGATGTTACTGTCGTCTTTTTATAGTCCAGAAACTCAGGATACCTACATTTATCACTTTTTCAATATAAATGTATTTCTTATTCTTAATTTATTTTAATTAGTCTTTGAGTTTTTGCTTAATATGTGTTATATCCTGTTTATTATTTTAATATTATCCAGGTTTGTCCTTATTACCATGTGTAAGATTTCTCAGAGTTCCAAGGTATAAAAATAGGAAGGAAAAATTTTTATCATACCCCTCAGAAAAACTGAATATGGTATTGGTTCCTGTGCTTCTTCCAATGCTCCCAATTAATAGATTTTAAATGAAATGTCATTAGCTAGAAACAGAAGCCATTTATTCCTTGCTGAGAGCCAATTACTTAAATATATTGCTTTCTCATAATGAAGTATTCTTTTTTTTTAGTTTTAATTTTTTTGGTGAGGAAGATTGGCCCTAAGCTAACATCTGTTGCCATTCTTCCTCTTTTTGCTTGAGGAAGATTGTCCCTGAGCTAGCATCTGTGCCAGTCTTCCTCTATTTTTTATGTGGGATGCTGCCACACCATGGCTTGATGAGTGGTGTGTAGGTCTATGCCTGGGATCCAAACCTGCGAACCCCAGGCTGCTGAAGCGGAGTGCGCAAACTTAACCACTACACCACAGGGCCAGTCCCAGAAATATTCTTGCTTATAGAATCAGATAGTCTAGCTTGCCCTTAACCCGTTTTTAGCCTCAGTTTTTAAAGATTTTTAAAGATTTCTATTTTCTATTTTCATTTCTGCATTTTGAGTGGTTTCCCTGTGAAAATAATTATAGTTTCATAAAATTCACATTCCACTGGTTCCTTTAATCTTACCAGCCAGTCTTCTTGATAACAGCACCAGTGAAATGGAACTGTTTCAGTACTTTCGTTATTAGTGAGACAGGTCACAAATGTCAAAGTCAGAGTCAGTGGCTTATAGGAGTGATGCTTTATTAGTCCTATGATGGCACAACCCACCACTTTTGTCGGAATTTTTGTCACTAGAACATAATGAAAATTATATAATACTCAATTATATGGCATTATGTTCACTTAAGTTGCAGTAAACTCTGAGCCAAATTATACCATCTTTCTCTCTGTACCTTAGCTCGATTTTTCTGGTCTAGGAAATTTTAATCACTTTCTACCAACCTTGTATTCATTCCTCTAATGTCATTCAAAGTATTCTGCCTCTCCCCTCGTCAGCCTAAGAGCTTCTTTTAATTTCAAAGGCCTTAGGCAGTGATTATCGAAATGTGGTTGAATGAAAGTCTGCCATGCACTTGCGAAGCTAGTCTTTTTAGGCATTAACATTTATTATCACATCCATATTTACCTTTTTGAAATAAAATAACTTATTTCTCACCAGTGTTATCTAAATAGATGCCCCTCCCTATCACTCCTATTCTCATAGTTTCGTGTTTTGCTTTTTGTCAGGAATGAAAGACAATGGGTGGATTGATTTAGGGGAAAGAACACTGGACTTCACCAACAGCAGACTTGGATTCTAGTCCTGGCTTTGTCGTTAACCAGCTCTGGCATGCCAGACAAGTCACTTCCCTTGTCTGGTTCATTTCGCATCTATAAAATGAGGTGGCCAGACAAGATCATCTGAGGCCAGTTCCAAAAGGAGACCCACTGGCCTAAGGAACTAAAGGCAGGAAAAAAGGTAGAAAAGTGATATAGTTTCAGGAAGATGATTTTGGCCTCTGGTTTAGAAAACCAGGCCGCCCTAAAGAGCCAGTGATCACCTCCTGCCTTATCCATAGTCCCTGACATTAAGGTTGATGGGAATGGAGTTTCTAACAGCAATCAATATACATAAATTTCAGAAGTTGAGATTTTTAAAGCTGGGATTTTAGAGGTCTTCTGGTTAATCCACTTGATTTTATGGATGATAAAATTGAGGCCCAGAGTGGTAATATGTGCAAAGTCACAGTGAGTGGCTTCCTGGGTCCAGGTTTCTCTGTTCTCTGTACCACAGACACACACGCCACTTTGACAGCTACAATGAAATGCTCAGAATCTTCCCACAAGATTGTGTATTTCAAGAGAATCTATTCTTTATAACACAGCTGGCTGCAACTAACCATGCCCGATCTTTATACCTGCTTCTGATATTCATTTGTGATTGCTTTGCTCACATTTAGGAATGAAATATGAAAGAAATACTTCATTAGAAATAGTACCAAGTTTTCACTGCATCTATTCTAGCTTCAGTATTTAGTATTTAAAAATTTTAGATATCTCTTTTAAACAACTTGCTTAATTTTGTACAAATTTCTTAACCACAGCATCCAAGCAATTCATATGATGCTTACAATCTAAATTATTTAAGGTATAAATGCCTGTTAAATCTACCTCATTATACTTAATGAGTATAATTGGTTGTAATTCTTGGGCAGTTCCCAGACTTCCTGACTGAACAGAGCGCTGTTTCTTTTTGCTGTCTTTAAACTTCTTTTCAGACTAATTCAGAACTAGTATCTAATTTCCCTTTTTGCTGTGGTGACATAACTTCAATTGGGATTAAGCAGTAAGGAAGAAGTAGCAGTGGATGTTTTAAATGCTCCCATACTAGTCTCTCAGGTGATACTAGTTTGAGTCTGGCTGCTTTCAGTCCTGCCACCGGGGCCATATCCTTCTGTCAAACGTGAGGATTTTCTTGGTGTTACAAAAAATATTTTTTAAAAAACGAGGACTTTTTTTATATCCTAATAGGCTTCCCTTGTATTATTACACGTGTTTCCCTTTTGCCCTAATATTTCATTATTTCTTAGTTTGTCAGTACTGTTATTAGGGGGACAGAGGAGGAATAATGCATCCATTGGTCAGTTTGTTTCTCTGAAAGTCTGAGCAATAAGGAGATCCTTTTATTTGTAAAACTGAATCATTACTCATACTATAAGGGCTTTCTACTTTTAAAATGTATTCAATCATTGCTTGCCATTTTTTATAAAAACCAAAGTTGAAAAAATTTCTGAATCACAGGATGTTTATAGCCACACATGCAAGATTTCAGGCAAACATGAAGACCTGTCTGCTCCTGACCTCCTTTTTAAGTAGAGCGGCCACTCGTATACCCTTGGGCAGCCCACCACTTCCTTCCCCACCACCACCCCACTTCTCCAGTGTAAGGTAGCTGATACTTTCCTAAGCAGCCCCTCCTACAGAGCCTTGCCAGAGTTTGGCCTGTTAAGACTGCGGGTGATGGAGGCTCTGCCCCTTATTAGCTTCATAGAAGGCTTTCTCTGCGAGCAAAGATTCCAAATACTTTGATTTCTGCCATTATGTTGTGTTCGAAATTGTCATTCCACAATTGCCCTTTAGTTGAAGCCCTGAAGTACAGACCTTGTCTCCTCCATCATTTCTGCCTTGAGCGATGGTCTCTACTGTGTGTTGAAAGGTATCATTTTATTATGATCCACAACTAGAGACTCCCTTCTTGGTTAAAATAAACCAAAGGCTGCCTGTAATGTATCACTTTCAGGAGTTGCTAAGATTATGTTTTTCTAGGGGCTGCCCTGGTGGCACAGCGGTTAAGTTCGCACATTCCACATCTCGGCGGCCTGGGGTTCGCTGGTTCAGATCCTGGGTGTGGACATGGCATGGCGTGGCAAGCCATGCTGTAGCAGGCGTCCCACGTATAAAGTAGAGGAAGATGGGCATGGATGTTAGCTCAGGGCCAGTCTTCCTCAGCAAAAAGAGGAGGATTGGCAGTAGTTAGCTCAGGGCTAATCTTCCTTAAAAAAACAAAGATTATGTTTTTCTTATGCTTCACATTAAATAATTTTGCTGAACAGTCCTTAAAATTCTCACTGATAAATACTGTTAAATCAGTGAACATTGAACAAAATGTGCAATGCATACTAGAGAGGGGATGTATTCCCCCATATGCAGGGACATGGGTATATATATGTGTTACATATCCCAATATATAACCCACCATTCATTCCAGGACTGGAAGGATGGCTGCAGATAAACTGGTTATCCTAATATAATGATCATCAGACTTGGTCTTTGCAACCAGCATCACTTTAGGCAGTAGCTAATCGTTACCCCTGCCACAGTGGACAGCATTTGTCAGTGTAAGTCAAAGACAAAAACTTCTGGGTTAAGAAAGCCAGGTATTTTAATTTCCCTTGATGTTTTAAAAACAACTGACAGAATTGTTGAAAGACCTTTGAAAATATTAAGGCAAACTAATTTTCCAGGTATGTGATGAATTATTTTGAAAGAGGTGGCTGGGACATCAACCTGTAATCATTCATTTTCCATTCATTCATGCAACATTTGGTATGTGGCTGGTGCTGGGAATAATGCAAACATAAAAATAATTCAGATAATCTCCATTCACCAGAAGCTTGTGGATAGGCATAATACAGTTATATAGCTAAATGTAACCAGATGTTTTTCCAAACTTATTATCTTTAATAAAAGAAAAATGAAGTAAAACATCTGAAACTTATTTTATTCATCTGTTGCTACTTTGTTGGCCAGAACTGTAGAAACATTAGCATATAATTCTTTGGTTGGACTGAACTGCCCTCTGCTGACTCAGTGATTAACTAAGGACAACCTTAGTTTGGGGATCAGGAGATGATGGTACAACGACCCGCCCCAGTGACTGCAGTACCCTCTTTCAAGAATTCTATCTGCAAGAGCTGATAACCTGTTACCATACTAACAGGATCAACACAGCGGATTAAATGAGAGAGGGTGGCCTGGAAATTCCGAGGGAATGGGAATAAGCTGGTCAAAATTTTCTAAGGTAACTAGGCTATCAGGGCCTAGGCCAAGGGTTCCTAAACTTGTCTGCACATAGGACTCACCTGGGGAATTTAAAAATACAGCTATTACTGCTTCCAGAGATTGTGATTTAATTGGTCTTGGGTGAGGTTTGGGCTTAGGATTTTTAAAGATTCTAATCTTGCAGCTGGGAATCACCTAGCAACAGCATAAGCCCCAGGGTCCAGGACTTTAAAAACCAAAGACACCTGTCTACTTCTGTTTTTCTAAGAACCACTTGAGAATGGTACACTGTAGGTCACACTGAAACTCAGAGAATATTGGAGTTGAAAGGGAACTGAGATCATCTAGTCCAGAGATTGTAAATGGGCAAACCTTAGGTCATTTATGGCTCCCAGATGTGTTCAGCCTGCATAATCTTCTAAAAAACTTAAAATTAGTTGCCAACACTTGAGAGCTTTCACATACAAATCTAGATGTTTGGCTTCTTTAAAAAATCAGAGTTGACAACCCTGGACCTGCAGAGCAGCAACAGGCCAGAGCTCAGCAGCAGTTTAGCCCCTAAGCTGGGGCACCTGCACTCCAGTGTGCCACTGTCTCCACCAGCCTGATCCTAATGAGCAACTGATTTGGTCCAACTTACACTTAACTTCTACAAAACCGAAAACTAGCTTTCGGCAACTTTCACCCATTGCTCCCAGGCCTGCAGCACAAAGGAAGCTCATTCCTTCTGCATGAGAGGGCTTCAGCTTCTCAAGGACAGGAATCTTGCTCTCTCTCCAAATGTTCTCCTCCAGCGAAATATCCCTGTGATATGGGTCCTGGACTCCTCACCATCTTGGTCGCCTCTCCTGGATGCATACTTTGTGTCAGTGTACTCCTTAAATTTGGTACCCAGAGTGAAATGCCAGCACTGGCACTGAGGTATTCTGACTATGGCTGTGACAATTCTATTAATAAAATCTGAAACACCATTAATTTTTATTAGTGTCATTACATTGGTTGTTCGAGTCTGTGGCCAACTGAAATCCCTAAGTCTTTTTTATATGAAATGACATGAAGCCAGGTTTCTCCACCCCAAATTTATACAACCTATTTACTTCAAATGAGGATGTTACATTTATAATCTGTTTAATTCCATCTTTATGGTGTCACTCGGGAACTGTTTTGAGTTGTGACCGTCATCTATTATATTAGCAACGTTGAGTTGTTCCATCCTCAAATCCGATCTTTCTGATGGCTTCATCCAAATTACTGATTTAAAATAAAATTAAGTTGAATAAGACAAAGCCCTGTGAAATATCAAAAGACCAAAATCATATCAACTCATTAATCTACCATTTGTTTAAATATCTGAATAGACGTCCATGTACTACACCAGCAAGGCCATATTTTTCTTATCCACAAGGCTGTTAGGAAACCCTTTCAGGAAGTGATTTATACGATCTTTTCCATTCACCTGACCTAGTGATGCAACAGCACTATCAAAAGAGAAACTACGTTAGTGCTTGATGCATCCAAGTGGGTTACTGGTGATTATGTCCTTTCTAAGTACTTACAGACTGGTTTGCTGCCATATAGACATTAAGCTTGTCAAAATCTACCCTTTCCCCATTTTTGAAAATCAGGATTCTGGAAGACATAGCTATTTCTTGCTGAAGGCTATCTGGCTACTTTAGGGTATGCCAATCATTCCCTTTGAATCTTCACCTGATGGAAGTGAAGTTGAGATCATAAAGAATTTCCACTTGGGCAGAATTCAGGACTCAGGAGGTCAAGGAGACAGACATCATGTACGTACAACCAACATTAAGAAACCGAAGGGCGGCCCTGTGGCCGAGTGGTTAAGTTCGTGCACTTTGCTTCGGCGGCCCAGGGTTTCACGAGTTTGGATCCTGGGCACAGACTTAGCACCATTCATCAAGCCATGCTGAGCTGGCGTCCCACATAGCACAGCCAAAAGGACCTACAACTAGAATATACAATTATGTACTGGGGGGTTTTGGGGAGAAGAAAAAAAAAAAAGAAACCCGAGACACAGCCTATTAAGGAGCAGCAAATGGCAGACATTTCTTTCTCTACATTAAACTTGATTTTCAACCTGAAAAGTAACAAATTTATAAAGGAACCTTGAGCATAACTATATTGACATTCTTCTTTTTCTGCTGAGCAAGATTTGCCCTGAGCTAACATCTGTTGCCAATCTTCCTCTGTTTTTTTTTTGCTTGAGGAAAATTAGCCCCAATCCAACATCTGTGCCAATCTTCCTATACTTTATATGTGGGTCACCACCACAGCATGGCCAACAAGTGGTGTAGGTCTGTGCCTGGGATCCACACTTGTGAACCCAGGCCACCAAACTCAACCACTACGCCATGGGCCAGTCCCACCATATTGACATTCTTGATCCAGCGACTGTCTCAGAAACAAGCAAAGAATTTTAAGTAACTCGACAAATTTGGAAACCACTTGGTATGCCAAGGTCATCCTCTTAGACAAGCCAAGTTCTTGTACTCTGATGAGCTCTCAAAAGCAGTTTCAGTCCTAGAAAGGTGATCCTCTGAGAATTACTTTGGAACTCTCCGGAGTTCGTTCATGAGCCAAAGGGCAACAGTGAGAAGAGCCAGGGAGCCTGACTGGTGAGTGGCAGCCAGAGGAGTTGGCACGTACATCAGCAGAGTGCTAATGCCCAAGCCGGCCTGTTACAAAGGAAAGAGAGAGTAAGCAAAGTAGGAACCACAAATTCAGAGCTGAAATGACTGGGCATCAATAAACGATACATAAACCTCCACCTTCTCCCATCAGAATATTAAAAAAATATACATTTTTAATTTCACAAGTAAATATACTTACAACAAAAATTCAAACAAACAAAAATAAACCTAAAACTCCCCTTAATTCCCCTAAACCCAGTTCCCCTCCCCAAAGACAGCTACTGTTACCAGTTTCTACACGTTTGTACTTTTGTATACATGTTTATAGAGGAACATACAGTTTTGTGCTTTTAAAAAATACACTGTTTTGTCATTTGCTTTTTTTCACTTAACAATATGCATCTTGAGATCTTACTATTTTAAACTGCTGTACAGTATTCCACAGTAGGATACCACAGGCTGGTGTGGTTTTTCTTCTTCTCCTCAAAGCTCCCTGGTACACAGTTGTATATTCTAGTTGTGAGTGCCTCTGGTTGTGCTATATCACTGGTTTAACTATTGAAGTTGTTTCCAATTTTTCACTACCACAGCAATTCTACCATGAATTTCCTCATACAAAGTTCTTTGTGCACTAGAATATCTCTAGGGCAGGCACTAATAGGTCAATTTGCTTAACCAAAGGATTACACATTTAACATTTTAAAAGATGTTGCCAAATTGCTCTCTGAAAAAAGCTATACCAACTCACGCTCTCACCAAGAATATATGAAGGTATCCGTTTTCCTAGACCCATACCAATACCTGATCATCTTTTTTTTCCCCATTTTTTTCTAATCTGACCAGCACAAAACAGCACACATTGTTTTAATTTGCTCTTCTCTGATCATGAGTGAGGCTAAACAGCTTTTCCTATTCATCATTCCTCTTGTGAGAATTGTGTATTGATACCCTTGACTTAATTTCTGGTTATTAATTTTTTAGTTTATTATAAATATTGAAAATATTTTCTCCTAGCCTGTCACCTTTCTTTTTTAACTTTGTTTTGAGGACACCTTCAGACTAAAAAGAAGTGGTTTATACCTGTGTGTATGCCAAAGCTAGCAGAGTCGCTGCTGCCACCTTGGTCCTTCGAGGAAGGGGAATTCTCCGGGAGAGGAAGTAGAGTGCTGTAACGGCAGTAACGGAAGTGATTCCCTGCAGGGAGGAAAGAGCCTCATCAAGCGCCAGGGAGAAACGTCCCACCTCCTGGTTTCTGCTCACCTTACACGTATCTCTTCCAGAACCACCGAGTAACCACTACGCACTCTCCTATCCCAGGCACAGAGAACCACCTGCAGTTCCGCCTCTGCTTGCTCCTCCTCAGTCTCTTCCACGCTCCCCGTCTGCTTGCCACTTAAACCTCACTGTCTTCCGCAGCTCCAGCTACAGTTTCTCCATGTATCACTTTATAAACACTAACTCTCTCCCCATGATCTTATTCACCTTCCAAAGTGGGTATCCCCCAGGTGTGGTCTTCACTTTTTAAATCATTCTTTGCATCCTTATCACTAATTTTATCTCTACTCTAATCCTGTATGTTTAAAGCAGCACATGAGGGTTATTATTGTGACTCCAGGACATGCGGTTATTATTTTCCTGGGCTGTGAGTAGAGAAGGTGGTGGTACTGATAGCTAATGCTAAAAAATGATCTAAAGTTCTATTTTCATTCCCACCCCTTCAGAACTAGGGTGTGGGACTGGCAATAGCGTCTCCTTCCCCCTTCCATGATGTCAAGCCGAGTGTTTTTCTACCACATTTCTACATCTGTCTCATTTCTTTCTTTTCAGAGCTGTCCATGATGACAGTTTCAACCAGACTTTATTTATTCCAAAATGATGTGTGGGGGTGGGGACTGAGCCCACATAAGGTAACTTGCCCACGCCCAGCACTCCCTTTGGATACCTGAGTCCTCTGGACCTCTCTCTTTGGATGTACAACTATCATCTCACAGTCAACATACCTCAGTCTGATGACATCCTCCATCTCTAGCTCAGCACTCATTCCAATAGTCCTATTTCTGTTGATTGTGTTTTAAGCATGCCACAGAAGCTTTCTGGTCTCCTTTGATCTTTCTTCACCTTTATTCCTACAGCCAATCTTCTATTCCTTACAACCTCTCTCAGATTCACCACTCTTCTCAAGCCCCACTCGCTCCATGAAGCCTGGATCCCCATCACTCTCAGCTGCAGTGCTGCAAGAGCACTATTGCCCACTGGTCTCCTTGCTGCTGCTCTTCCCTGCGCCGATTTATCATGCTCAGGTTACCAAGCCAATCTTAACACGACCCAAAGCAGGCCTTTAATAATCATTAGCTTAAATGAAACGAACACTATTTATGATGCTCTTGGCTCCTTCGGTTCTGGTTCAGATTTGATAGCTATGTGTGTGGCAACCACTGTCTTTGCACGCTCTTCTCTATTCAGCTTCATTTATGCTAACATGATTCTGCTATGTGTGTGCAGGATTGAGGAAGGTTATCATTTGTCAGATAGTAAAAGGTACAATTGAACTTTAAGAAGCTGACAGTATCCTGAAAGCCAGAATTTGGTAGGAGGGGTTGTGGGTAATTAGGACAAAAACATCACATCTGAGAGCTGGTACTAAATTTCTTCTAAAAAGAAAAGGAAATCTCATTCCCACTCTACCCTCTCAGTGCTGCCTTCAGGGCATCAGACACCCCAAAGCCTGAGAGAGGCTCCCTGGGCTTAGTAGCCAGTTAACACCAGCCAGACTTACCAGAATCCGGTGATCAAACTGCACCATGGTGGGATTCTCAAAAACATTCCTCAGGATGGGGGAGAATGTAAAGAGATCCTCTGGGATCCAAGATTCTCCCATCTTGGGAAAGGAGTTGTAAACAAGCCCAGCATCCAGTCCTGCCACAAAGGCCCCTGTATCCAAGGTAAATGGCATTTATTAAAATGAGAGAAAGAAGAAACCAAATACTAGTTCTGACACAGAAAAGGTTTATTATCCCAGAGTTAGATAAAAGAGAGAAAAATTAAAAAAAAGATTTAGTAAGGGTTCTCAAAAAGGGACTATACATCACAAACACCATGAGAACTTTAAAAAAAACAAAAACAGCGCTGGCCCGGTGGCGCAGCAGTTAAGTGCACACGTTCTGCCTTGGCGGCCCGGGGTTCACTGGTTTGGATCCTGGGTGCGGACATGGCACCAGTTGGCAAAAGCCATGCTGTGGCAGGCGTCCCATGTATAAAGTAGAGGAAGATGGGCGCAGATGTTAGCTCAGGGGCAGCCCTCCTCAGCAAAAAGAGGAGGATTGGCAGTAGTTAGCTCAGGGCTAATCTTCCTCAAAACAAAACAAAAAAAACAAAAACAACTGCATCCTCACCTGCTCCAACCCCAAGATTCTGGCATGCTTCCCCTAAAGGAGCGGAACAGAAACTCTAGAGAGAGGCATATTAGTTTGGAATAATTCCCTTAGTGATTCTGATGCCCTCCTTATCCCCCACAGAGAACTACTGATCTGTTCTGGACATGCTCTTTCCTCAGAAATCTGCATAATTTACTCCTTCACTTCCTCAGGTCTCCACTGAAATGTCACCTCATCAAAGAGATCTCCTCAATGATCCTATATAAGATGGTACTCCTCCAGCTCCCTCTATCCCCTTATCCTGCTTTATTTTTCTTCATAGCACTGAACACCATCTGACATATTATATTTTATTATCTGTCTTCCCCAAGTGCTCAAAAAATGTTTAGGGGCTGGCCCAACAGCATAGTGGTTAAGTCTGTGTACTCTGCTTTGGCAGCCCGGGGTTCAGGGATTCGGATCCCAGGCATGGACCTACACACCACTCGTCAAGCCATACTGTTGTGGTGCCCCACATACAAAACAGAGGAAGACTGGCACAGATGTTAGCTCAGGGGCAATCTTCCTCACAAAAAAAAAAAAAAAAATTTGTTGAATGAACACAGAAATGAAAAAAAAACTTATAAACTAAATCCTGGATAAACACATAAAGAGGGTATTCATAAATTAATGATGACTGATCCATTATTTATGATGAAAGAAGATTCAGGGATGTTTAGATCACATTCCTTATTTTTCTAAATGCTATTTATAAAGTCAAAATTCATGCTCTTCCACCAAAAAAGGGGGAGGAGTTGGATGGATCACTGGTTTGATGGTTTTATTTTAAGCAGTGCTGTCCAGTAGAACTTTCTGTGATGATGGAAATGTTCTATAACTGCCATCCAATATAAGAGCTTAGCCACATGTGGCTACTGAGCACTTGAAATGTCGCTGGTGTGACTGAGGAACTAAATTTTAAATTTTATTTAATTTTAATTAATTAAAGTTTAAATAGTCACATGAGGCTGGTGATTATTGTATTGGATAGTGCAGTTCTAGAGTGAGACAGACAGAGGTAGAGGTGTGATTTAAAGAATGAAAAGACCTGGGTTGGTCTCTTTGCAACAATGAATTCCCCACCTTACACTATTTTTGAGGGCAGGCTTTTTGTCCGACCCACCTTGGTGTAACGTAATAATAACGTTTATATAAAAATAACAGCTAACACTTATATAGCTTTTGGTATACGCCAGGTACTGTTCCAAGCACTTCACATATCTTACTCATACTATTATCATCATCCCCATTTCACAGATGAAGTCATTGAGGCCCAGAGAGGTTACACAGCTTGTCCAAGGTCATACAGTTCATAGGTGGTGAAGACAGGATTTGAAGTGAGGCAATCTGGATCCAGGTAAATGCTCAATATTTTTGTTCAACTGACTGGAAAGCAGGATTTTTGGAAGGGAGGAAGGAATAGAAAACAGAGTGAAGATGGTGGGTATGAGAGAGGAAGATGTGAAAGGAAAATAATATGATGCAAGAAGGGCAAAACATAAGCAAGAGATCCCACCTGAGAGTGGGATGAAAACAGGCCACCTGTGATGAGAAGAGGCCCACCTGAGAGAGCCGTAAGGAACACTAGGCCTGCTGTTCCATGAGCGAATCGTCTCAACCACAGGAGCTGACGGGTTTCAGGCAACTAAATAAGGAAGGAAAATCATCAGATAAACCGTACTGCAGAACTACGAGAGGCCGCAAAGATCTCTAAGGCCAAACCCAAGTGACCATCTTAAGTCAGATCTTCTCGGACCCTTGGACTAGGTTAAATACTCCAAGCAGACAGTCTGTTCTAACATTGCATCATATTTTACTAAATTTATATATTTACTATCTGTCCTCCCTGCTATCCTGTAAGTTTTGTGAAGGCAGGAACCACCATCTGTCTTGGTATGACAGTAATCCTAGCCCAGTGCTTGGCACGTAGGAACTCAGTACGAATCTGCTCAATAACTGAATGATTTGCATTGTTCAGGGGAAAAATGCTTCACTGTGGTTGAAATGATATGGCTGAAGATATAGGACTGGATTTTCATGTTGTGTGTGACATTTAGTGCTTAACAAATATAGTCAGAATTAAATTGCATAAACTGCCTAGAGTGGGGATTCTTGCATTTAGTGTTTTTGGTAAAGTCAAATCTTTTTTTTAATTTTTACTAGAACCAACTTCTGATACTAATCAGTGAATCAACAAATATTTATTAAGAATTTTATAAACAGGTAATCATAAAGATACAAAGGAGTTAAGTCAGAGTGCTGCCCTCAAACAGTTTACAATCTAGTATGTGAAGAGTTAGGTATCATTACTAAGATACTGTACAGTATATCAGCGCTGTCCAACAGAACTTTCTGTGATGATGGAAATGTTCTATTACCTGTACTGCCCAATATGTGGCTAACAAGGACTTGAAACGAGGCGAGAGCAACTGAAAATTAAATAAAAAGTTAATTTTACTTAAAGTAAATAACGGTTTGTTTAAATAAAGTTAATTCTATTTCATTTTAAGTAATTAAAATTTAAATAGCCACATGTAGCTAGTAGCTACTGTGTTAGACAGCATAGGACTATATGTTTGACTATCATCTCAAATCCTTTCTGTAATTAGGGGAATAGAAATAAATAAAAAGAGAAAAACAATTAATTGATAATTAAAAAGTCATTGGTAACCTTTCAGAGTACCAATTCAGTGGAGTGTGTTTAGGAGTGTGTGGTATTAAGTATGGGGGTGAACGTGTAGGTGCGTATGTACAGGGATGGGTGGGAAGCCAGATGAGAAGAACTGAAAAGAAAGAAGGCATTGTCAGGAAGTACAGCTACAGATGTAAGCAATTCATTTAGAAGTTTGGCTTTGAAAGTCAGAAAAACAAGAATTATTCAGATGTAGACTGTCTACTATACCAATGTGTCAATTCCATCTGGCTTTCCTGCGGGGAGGACTGCCAGGTCAACCACTCCCATCCTTAGTGGGATCCAGGCTACTGGTTCCAAGTCCCTACTGGATGATTCTACTTCAAAGTCCTACTGTCATCTCAAACTTTACTCCATGAGATTATCCAGGCCAATCATGACTTTAATACGTAAAATAATACTCATTTTTTAAAAAACTAGATAAATTACTATTTTCCTTCAATCAGCATACAGAGAAAATACTTTCAGGCAAGATCACCAAGGTTTATTATATTGTTAGATCTGATGAATGGCAGATCCCCATCTAAAGAACAAACAACCCAACGAGGCTCTTGTACACCACCAAAGGTCCAGAAATAGCTCTCATGCTGGCTTTCCTCACCTCGCCATCCGCCCTCCCTCTGGGAGTCAGAAGTAAAGTGGTTGGGATAGCTCTTGTTGTTGGTACTCTTCCCCACTTTTCCTAAAATTCATGTTTTCACCTTTCCCAATAGGCAATACTGACAAAATATTCTGGCTCCTATCCTACTAATTCTTCTTTGAATGAGTTGCTCCAGCTCAAAAGAATAATTGCAAATTTTACTCTATAGTCTCAAAGCTAACCCAAAATTTAAAGTTCAATGTTTCTCTAAACTTTCATTATATCTAGCTTCTGGTAAATTGGTAAATGTTACTAAGGGAAAGTGTGCATTTTGACTTATAACTTCCCATTAGAACCAGAATTTCCATTTCTCTGCCTCTATCAGCATTTGTGCAGATGTGGTAACAACATAGACTGACTTTTACCTTGTGCTGAGGGAGCAGCAGTGAGAGTGAGGTCCACAAGCTGGCGCAGTAAAGAACAAGGGCTGACCCCAGGTGGGCAGCAAGGCGGTACTGACTGACCCGAGGGATGTCATGGGAGTCTGGTTTTTCTTCTAATCCACTTTTCACCATATACCATCCCAACAGACCCTAGAACCAAAAAGAGAAGAGGCAAATAAAATAAGGTTGAAACTGTCTATTCAACTTTAATCTCTGAGAACCTGTGCTATCAATGATCGGGGATACTCCCTACATGGCCCCTCCTTTCCATACCCTCTCCGATTCCCAGTATCCCAGGAATGAGGGCCTATCCACATTTCCACATATAGCATCGCAAATACTTAACCACTGTTTAGACTAACATTTTATTGACGTATAAGCCAAATATAAAAAGTGCAAAAAAGCATATCTGTGGGCAAAACCTTGCAAATACTTGATATAATTTAACATTATGTAAGACAGTAAAACATAAAAAGAGTTGTTTCTATTAAAACTAGATTGAATGCTTTGGAAAAGCTTGACAAAGATAATTGCTTAAACACAATTACTGTCAAGTTAGCTGGGAAGAGACATAAAACTTTTGGTGGAGAAGTCATAAAAAGCTGGAAGGCTTTGCAGGCAGAATGCTTTGTTCCCACTCCCCTTTAAAGAAAATGAAACGAAGTTAATAGTTTATGCGGGTGCAAGAGATCTGACGCTGAACGCCAATTGGAGGACTCAAAGAACAGGCCTTAGCTCTGTTAAAAAAAGGTAATGAAAGTACATGTTTCAGTCTGAAAGATTAAGTATGTGTTATTATTCTATGATTCTCTGCTGTAACTGACTTTTTTGACTTTTTCAACTAACCAAACAACTGTCAGTTCCAATCATATCATATCAGGTAATAGCCTTTTCAACCCCACCATCCCAAGGCGGTAGAATCATGTCAAAGAGGTGAGATTCTGCCACCTCTTCTAAATACATACTTCTCTGGAAATCTTTCTGGGCAATTCTTTCCCCCTTCACCATTACCCTGGATCAAATTATCTTGATTTCATCGGCATAGGACATTGGAAGATGGAGGAGGATACAGTGTGATTTGCCAACCCTCACCTTCTTCCTCCCATAACCCTATCAGCCATCTTCAAATTTTAGTGGTTTTTTCCCCCCATTCTAAAACAAACTTTCATTTTGTTTCACTTCCCCTCCCCTAGTTTCCATTAGACTTTTATTAATGTCTAACTCTTAACTATTTCTATTGTCTCTATTTCATCTCTTCCATCTTCCTCCTTAATTCCTTCTAAATGGTTCATATTCTTACCATTTCTGAATTAACCAATTCACTTCCTCCTGATGAAATTGTGGTATTTCTTTGATGCTCTGATACTCTCCCTTAGGGCCTGTATACCCTGACCCAAATACTCATATGTGTCTTCTCTAGTAATCCTTTTCTTGGCTGTCAGTCTCACCTAACCCCTTAACTCTAGGAGTCATTCAAAGCTCTTTTCCTTAAGAGGAGTTAAACTTATGTGGTTTTAATCACCATTTATACTTGAATATCTCTCAGCTACATCTGTCTTCTAAGATCCTTCATCCCACAAAATGTTTCTCTCTTTTGCAGTTTTCCTATTTGCTTTGGTCGCCATTCTAGCACAGAGATCCCACTTCCCCATGGAGCAAGCCAGTTAGAAAAAGGGAGGAGATGAGAACCAGGAGGAGAGCCCTGATGGGAAAGAAACTCTAATTCTTGTGACACAAAAATATATTTATTGAGTACTTACTGATTCCAGGCATTAAACTAAGTACTTTATAGGCATGATCTCATTTACTACACACACAAACCAAATGGTAGGCCCTATTATTATGCCTGTTTTCAGGTAAAGGAAACACAGCCTACAGAGATTAGACAACTCGCCCTACTAAATGGCAGAGGCAGGCCTTGAAGCCAGGCCTGTGACACTAAAACCCATGCTCTTACCCACTCTGTTATACGGCTTCAAAGATTATTTCCTTAAAAAACAATGCCAACTAGGAAGCTCCTGGGAGCATCTCTGGTTTCCCCAACTTGAATAATCTCACCTGGAAGCAGACTAAACCACAGAGGGCAAGAACACGTCCTTTCATGGCGCGGCTGAGCCAGCCCTTTCTCCAAAAGTAGGCAGCAGGCAGGATGTATACGAGGCCTACAAGACGACCCCACATTCGGTGGGAGTACTCCATGTACCAGATGAACTTGAATTCTGCCAATGTCATATCATGATTCAAGCTGGGTGAAAAGGGAAGTCAAAAAAGAAGAGGAAACATCCATCTGATTTTTATTTCCCAGTGGAATGCAGGAACATTCTCAGTCTTAAAGCTTGATAGGTCTGCCCTCTTCCTCATCAGTGACCTCAGGGTTGCTTTGGAAGTGGGGGTTTAAGAGTAGGGAGCTCACTAAATATAACTGAGCTGATATTAAGAAATAATAGAATCTAATCATTCTGAAATGTTTAAATAAGCAAAAGACTGAGTGGGCCTAATGGGATGTTTACCTGATTTTCTACAGCACTTACATTTTAAATTCTGGAAATTGCTGGTATTTTTGGAATTCTGCTTCCCATTCCTCTTGGTTTGTAGGTGGCTTCATCTCCTTTATTAAATGCCAATCTACCATCGAGAGGCCAGACTCTGTCAACCTTAGGATAGGAAAGAAATTTGAGTGTGTGTGTACACGCACAGGCAAGTGTGCACATGAGCGCACAATGCTGATCATAAAGGTTTACAGCACCAAGTGGATCTGAACTCAGCCCCTCTAAAGGCAGACACATTATTTCATTGTTTCCTCTTTTGACATCTTCTTCTCTTCTTAGTGCTTAGAATTTTGTCAGAAACAGCAGCCATCAGGTATAATTTTCTTTACCCCCTTATTCTCTCAATCCTCTCATTAAATTCTTCCTACTTCTTTCTTTTATTAGCATTCCTTGACAGGCAATCAACCCTTAGACCAAAGAAATTTGCCCTAAATGCATAACCAACATTATTTACACAGAGAAGAGAAATTTGTTATAGGTATAAAATGGTTTAGGTTCTTGAGTGAATTTAAAGACGACAAAACTCAAATTTGTTGCAGTTTCTCATAACAGCCTATATAATGCATAAGTTATTTTGAAATAAGGGCACAGGGAATGTGGAGAGAATGTGAGGAACACATACTTTATTAAAACAGGAAGGACTTTCACCAAAAGGAGTTAGAGTTCCTAAACTAAAAGGCTGATTTTAGGCCTGATGCAGGAAATGTATAAGATGAGCCTGGAACATCTTATTATCCAGAAAGCAACGAATCAAAGGTCCTGTCAAAAAGACCCTGGAACCAATTTGAAGAGGTTCCCACTGACTAAAGATGGGACAATTTGAGCAAATCATCCTCATTGCCATGGACGGAAACATATCAAATATGGTTAAACCTATGAGCTCATGATGATACTTAAAAACTCAAACCCTTTATTGGCTACCTTTGGAAGATGGCTGGGAATCAATTTATTATTTTGAAAAATTGGTAAATAAAGGGAAAGAATCAAGTATTTATCCTGCCTTTCAAACTGTACCTTAGGAATAACCAATTTTTTGATGAGGGAAAGTTTCTTTTTAGAGTTGAGGTAATAAAATATCACAATTTTGCAACTCTAAAGAAATAATGGATCTATGCAATGATCATCAATGGCTGTTGATCTAACAGACACCAGATATTTATGAATGTATAATCACCTCTGAAGTATTTTGCTCCTCTGCCCCCACCCTCAATCTGATCAAGCCATTACCAGATTACAGAAAACACAGGGGACAATGGGACATGTTAAACATCATCACAAGTGTGCAATTAGCAAAACCCAGACTGTGGGAAACTCCATGGATAAATGACTCGGGTTTCTTCAACAAAAAACTGCCAATGGTGGTGAGGGGGTGGAGGGAGGAGTACAATCTAAATCTATAAACTCTCTTTATAGGTTTAAATAGATCTGAGAGGTACACGAACCAATTGTGATGTATGGAACTTATTTGGGTTTAATTCAAACAAACTGTACAAAAATTTTTGAGACAAATTTGAACTCTGATTGTAGGCGGAAAATATACACAAACAATGCACGGCTAACAGTTAAGACCTAAACGAGTTCTTGTGAAGGGCTCCTACTAATAAAACCCTAAACCATTCTACGGCAGGGTAAGCCGTCAAACACGTTCCCTCTCTAGGCCGGTTTCTGCATGTGAAAAACGAGGGAGCTAGATGATTCCTAGGGTCCCTTCCCCCTCAGTCATCCTGTGCCTCTACTCATGACCCAAATAGCTAACCCACTATGAGCAAATTACTCACCTAGTTACTCCACCAAGAATAACTGCTCCAGCCACTGTTCCACTGCAGACCAGGAGCCATCGGCCCACCACCCGCTCAGCAGCCTTTGAGGGAAGGGACACTGTACCCCTTCCGGCTTGCAAGGCTACTTCAGAGACGGTGCTGTATTGACCTGGCCTCAAGGGACGGCTGATCCCACAGCTGCAACCACACTAAGGATCAAGACAGACAAATTACAACTGGAGAAATAGGGAAAGACTTCCCTCTACTGCTACTCACACTCAATCCCACTCTGTCTGGAGTCAAGTCCCCTGAGTGGCCACATCTCACTGCCCTGGTAAATCATCATCTCTTAACTGGATTACTGCAACCACCTCCCAACTGGTTTTCCTGCCTCTACACTTGGCCTTACTCCAAGCCATCCCCACACTACAAAAACCTTCTGGTCTCTGCATACTTCCCCCAGACTTAACTCTACACCTAGATATGGATTATTTTCTTTCTCTGGTGGGTCTTTAAACATGATTTCCGACGGGGACACTACTTGTCCCCTGATTGACAATACTTACTGCAGACCTCAGCTTAGATGTCATTTCCTTTGAGAAATGTTCCCAGATATTCCCAGGCCTGCAACAGGTCACTCTCACAGCACTGTGTACCTCCCCTATCACAGTGCTTAACACACTGCAATGTACCTTCAGGTTCACTTGTCTCTATCTCCCACTAAGCTCTGAGCTGGGGGACAGCAGTGTCTCATCTGGTCAGTCTAGCTCTTTCCCTCCTGCTACTTTTGTTTCAAACAGTTCCCTGACATAACAAGACCTTAATAAAGACTTGACAAATGAATTACAGGTGAATAAACTGTGCCTGCCTCCAGGGAAGGAGCCTTTTGGTACAGTAGTCTTTTGGTACAGTACAGTTTCACTTTCAGCAGTTTCAGCTACCCACAGTCTACCATAGTCCAAAAACATTAAATGGAAAATTCCAGAAATAAACAATTCATTAAGTTTTAAATTGCAAGCCACTCTGAGCAACATTATGAAATCTCGCTTGGCCCACTCCATCCTGCCTGAGATGTGGGTCACCCCTTTGTCCAAGGATCCATGCTGCATATGGTACCCATCTGTTAGTCACTTAGGAGCTGTCTTGGTTATCAGATTGACTATCGAGGTATTGCAGTGCTTGTGTTCAAGTAACTCTTATTTTACTTAATAATGGCCCCAAAGCTCAAGAGTAATGATGCTGGCAATTCGGATGTGCCAAAGAGAAGCTGTCAAATGCTTCCTCTAAGTGAAAAGGTGAAAGTTCTCAACTTAATAAGGAAAAAAATCATATGCTGAGGTTCCTAAGATCCACGGTAACTTTTCTTACAGTATATTGTTACAATTAGTTGTTGTTAATCTCTTACTGTGCCCAATGTATAAATTAAACTTTATCATAGGTATGTACATATAGGAAAAAACATAGTACAGATCCTCCTTGACTTACAATGGAGTTACGTCCAGATAAACCAATAGTAACCTGAAAATATAATAAGGCAAAAATGCATTTAAGGGCCAGCCCTGGTGGCCTAGTGGTTAAGTTTGGTGTATTCCACTTTGGCAGCCTGGGTTTGGTTCCAGGCGCAGACTTACACCACATCTGTCAGTGGCTATGCTATGGTGGCAGCTCACACACCAAAAGAGGAAGACTGGCAGCGGGTGTTAGCTCAAGGCGAATCTTCCTCAGTAAAAAAGGGAAAAAGAAATGCATTTAATACACCTAACCTACCAAACATCACAGCTTAGCCTAGCCTACCCTAAACATGCTGAGAACACTTCCATTAGCCTAAAGTTGGGCAAAAGCATCTAACACAAAGCCTATTTTATAATAAAGTATTGGAAAATCTCACATAACTTATTGAATACTATATTGAGAGTGAAAAAACAGAAGTGTTATTGGTACAGAATGGTTGTAACTGTATTGGTTGTTTATGCCTGGCTGACTGGGAGTTGTGGCTTGTTACCACTGCCCAGCATTACACGAGAGTATCATACTGCATATTGCTAGCCCACAAAAATACCAAAATTAAAAATTAGAAGTACGGTTTCTACTGAATGCATATTGCTTTCAAACCACGGCAAAGTCGAAAAAGTCTTAAGTGAATCATCATACATCGGGAACTGTCTGTACATATAGGGTTCAGAACTATTCCCGGTTTCAGGCATCCACTGGGGATCTTGGAACATATCCCTTGAGGATAAAGGGGGACTTATCTTTCGCTTCCCAGTTCCTAACACACAATAATCCCTCGATAATTATTAGTCAAGGGATAGTCAAGGGAATACACGCCCTCTTCCTACTCTGAGAGTCCAAAGAACCATTTTTGGTTTCCTGCTTCTAATTAACTTTAGACAACTAAGCCTCAATTTCCTTCTTTGTAGAATGGAGTTACAGCCCCTAACCTGACTACCTGTAGGCTCTTAGCAAAAATCAAATATATGGGTAAAAATTACTGAGCTTTTACTATGTGCTAAGCGCTCGATGTACATTAAATTATCTAATCCGCACAACTTTATGAAGTAAGCATTGCTGTTATCCCCATTTTACAGATGGGGAAATTGAGACACAGAAAGATTAACTCGGCTAATATCACACAGCTAGTAAGTAGTAGGTGCGGACTTGAACTCTGGGGCTCTGGGCACAAGGAAACGCGTTGTGAACTCTAAGGAGCTACGGAAACGTGATATGAGGTTATCTGTTCTCTTTTTCCATGCCCTTTCACCCCATGCCCGCTTACGAGACTCAGAGCCCGCTGCGATGCGGTACCTGTGCTCTAGGCGCCGCCCTAGGAACCAGGAGCCGGAGACACGGGCTCCCCATCAAGGCCTTCAGGGGCGGAGAGAGTAATCGCTGCATACTGAGGACAGCGCACGGCCGCCGCCTCCACGCTCCAGCGGTCTGATGTCTCTTCTCTCCGCCACCGAAGAGAGAAGCACTTCCGGGTTACGCTGCGGGAGCCCCTCCTGCTCAGACGCCAGCGGCGAACAGTGACTGCGCCTGCGCTAGCGACTCGGCTTTCGCGGGGGCTGCTGGGGCGTGGACATCGGGGACGCGCAGGGGCGCGAGCGGCTAGGAGGACGCGCTTCTTTGGTCGCGCGCGCCGCAACCCGGGCCCTGAGTGGAACCCGAAGACGCACGAGGGAGGACCGGGTCGAGCATGAAGAGGCAGGGGGCCTCCTCCGAGCGGAAACGGGCGCGGATGCCGTCCGGGAAGGCCGGTGCGGAAGGGGGCGGGGAGGGGGCGCTCGGCCCAGTTCGCTCTGAGGGGCGGGCCTGCGAGGGTTCTGACCGGTGGATTAGTGGCGAGTTCCTCGGACTAGTTTCCCCGGCTGCTCACAGCCCGCTGCGCGGCACCTTCTCTTAGTCCGGCTTGAAACGTGTGGAGACGGGGCCCTGAGAAGGGCGTGTAGCGAGAGCGGCCGGGCTCCGGAGCCCGATGCGTGGGTTCGAATCCTGGCGCCACCGCGTACCGTCGTGCGGCCGTGTTCCAGTTGAACTCTCAGCCTCACGTTTCCCATCACCGCGCCAGGAGCCGGTGCCCCCTCACGGCGCGCTGCGGCAGTCGAGCGCGGAGCGCAGTGCCCAGCCTGTGGTGACCGCTCGGGATCCTTTAGCAGCTAAGGCGGGGGCGGGGCTTGTCCCCAAAACCAGCCAGCTACCGAACGGCAGAGCCTGTGGCTGCCGCAAGTCCCGAGTTCTTCCTGCCACGCCAGGGTAGGATGGGAATTTGGCACATCCTTCCTCCGTGAGCTCTTGGTTCCTCCCAGCCGGGGGTCCTCAAACTTTTTGATGTCAGGACCCCTTTACTCTTCTAAAAATTGAGAACCTCAAAGACCTTTTATTTATACAGGTTAAATCTGTCAATGTTGACCGTATTAGAAATTCAAACAAATTTTAAAAATGTTTATTAATTAACTCGAAAATAACCATGATAAACCCATTACGTGTTAACACAAATAACATTTTTTATTGAAAAATAACTACTTTCCTAACCGGAAAAAAAAATAGAAGAGTGCCAGTGTTTTGTATTTTTGCAGATGTCTTTACTATCTGGCATACTGGAATTCCCATACGTGGATTCTCACACGTGCTCCCGCATTCAATCTGACGTGTCAGGTAGCCTCCGGAAAACTCCACTTGTGAGAGAACCAGAGTGAAAAAAGGCAGATAAAGTCTTAGTATTATTTTGAAAGTAGTTTTCGCTGCACAGAGTCTGAAAGAGTCTTGGAAGCCCCCAGAGATGACTGGGCTACCACACTTTGAGAACTGCTGCTCCAAACAAGTGTCTTCTTTAATCCCTGCAAATAACATTTTTTAGGACAACTGCCTTACTCAGCCTCCTGTGTAGCTTTTTGTGTACATCCCCTCCCTCTCTTGGCCAAAGTCGTTTTTTATGTGAGGCAAATGGTACCCCTGCAGCATTGTCCGGTTAGATAGATCTGGCAGCTGAGGTGGGTGGCTGTGGGAAAACTCATGGAATTAATGCAGTGCTGTTGATGAAGAGCACAGAGCCGCACTTCACTCTTTCACAGTTTGAGACTGATGCCCTTCTTTTAAATTAATGAGGCAGTTGCAATTTGATGTTAGCAGATGATAGATTTTTTAATTTTCAAATTAAATGCTTTTTAAAAACATCATAAAAGCAATATTGAGTAGAAAAAGACCGAGCAATATAGACAATTAAAAAGAAGAAAGTAAAAATTCCAAATCCCACCACCTAATAGTAACCATTATTAGTATGTGGTGAACATTTTTCCAGCTATTATTATGTGAAAATGCGTTCAGTATTCGTAATTTTTAAAAAATTGTGTGCTTAGCTTAGAGGGAAAAAACTCAAAACTCTGTTTTCATTCACACTTTTTAGTGTACATACATGAATTTTTGTGAATTTGTAGTTATTCAACCTTCAGTAAATCTTTGTGTGACTCTTGTGTTCCATGGTTGACATTGTGCTTGCTGTGGGTAATCATAAAGATTTCTCGCATAAAGACCTTACTTAGGAACTTTAGGTCAAGTAAGAGTGATGAGACACCTATCTACATAAATAATGAGAGAGGAAATAATTAGTGTTTAAAGAGATACAATTAGAGTTTTAAAGAGGAACATATAACTTACGAAGAGTTATATGAGTTCAAAAAAGGGAGATACAGTTTCCCTCTTTGGGAGAAAGGAAATGTCATGAAAATGTGATTTTTACATGAGCCTTGGAAGATTTTAGCATTCAAAGATGGAGCTGGAAGGACTTTTTTTTTTTTTTAAAGATTGGCACCTGAGCTAACATCTGTTGCCAATCTTTTTTTTCCTTCTTTTTCTCCCCAAAGCCCCCCAGTACATAGTTGTATATTCTAGTTGTAGATCCTTCTGGTTATGCTGTGTGGGACACCGCTTCAGCATGGCTTGATGAGCAGTGCTAGGTCTGTGCCCAGGATCCAAACCGGCAAAACCCTGGGCCGCCGGAGCATGCAAACTTAACTACTTGGCCACAGGGCTGGCCCCTGGAAGGCCTTTGTGGATTGAGTAGATGTCATAAGCAAGAGCAGCAATGGGGATTGAAGGGAACTGGAGGCACATAGAGGAAATAATGTGTATTTAATTAATAACTAAAACTTTTTGCACACTTAGTAGATACTATATCTACTTTACGTGTATTATCTCATTTTATCCTCCCTACTCTGAGGTAGGTACTAAAACCTACTGTCTTTTATAGAAAACTTAGGCTAAGTAACTTGTCTAGAATCATACAAATACATAGTAGGCCAGGATTTGAAGTCCCTCACTGGTCTTAAACATATATTCCTTATAAAGAAGTTTAAACGTACTCTCCAGGCATTGAGAAGCATTCAAAGAATCTTGCCTTAGAATGTGATGATGAGATCTGTGTTTTAGGAAGATTAATTTGGTATTTAGGGTATGTTTTTCTGAGTATAATTTCTTTTTTTTTTAAAGATTTTTTTTTTTTCTTTTTTTCCTTTTTCTCCCCAAATTCCCCCGGTACATAGTTGTGTATTCTTCGTTGTGGGTTCTTCTAGTTGTGGCATATGGGACGCTGCCTCAGCGTGGTCTGAAGAGCAGTGTCATGTCCGCGCCCAGGATTCGAACTAACGAAACACTGGGCCGCCTGCAGCGGAGCGCGCGAACTTAACCACTCGGCCACGGGGCCAGCCCCCTGAGTATAATTTCTTATACATATGTCTGTGTTCTTATTTCACAGCCCAGAGACATCAATTTAGCAATACCGTATTTTATTGCATCCATGGGCCCTGGCGTACTTACCTACTTCCCTTTTATTGGATGTTTGGATTTTGGCAGCAAAATGTAAAATATTTGTGGTAGATTGGCCTTGATGGATAGTACCATCATGAAATTGCATTGTTCTCCATGTATTTTAGGAGCAGCGAATGGATTTCTCATGGAAGTGTGTGTTGATTCAGTGGAGTCAGCTGTAAATGCAGAAAGAGGAGGTAAGAGAAATTGGAGAATGACGGTTGGCAGTCCTTTTAAGAGTCTAAAAATGAATCCTATGAACTGACCTTGAGAGCTCTTATGATCTCTAAGGATCCTAGTAATCCTTTTGAAAACAACAACCAACTAGAAAACCTACTGGAAAATTATAATTTTCTAGTTTTACTCTTGCAATAGGTCACATTTTAAGACAAGTGTCCCCAATAGGGCTTACTCACCAACTTCATTTTTTTATTGAACTTAGCAAAGATTTAGTTTTTTCAAACCATTGATTTGAAGATGATTTTAGAGATTGTTGCCGTTTTTATCATCAGGACTTTTATCATTATCTTTTTTTGCTTTTGAACATTATCTATTTTTACCTCAAGGTTTCTTTTGCCCTCTGAGCCTGCTTTAATGGGAAACATAGAAATTCCCATCATCTCAGGATCAGAAAATTTTGTACACAAAGTGGAGAGAATAATGTGAATCCCCATGTACCCGTCACTCAGCTTTAGCTGTTGTCAATACATGGCCAGTCTTTCACCACTATTAGGGGTCAGCAAACTTTTTTTGTAAAGAGCAACATACTATGTGTTTTCAGCTTTGCTGGCAACATTTGGTCTCTGTCATATATTCTTCTTTGTTTTTTATAAATAATTCTTTGACAATGCAGAAACTATTCCTAATTTGGCAATAAAAAAGAATGAAGTACTGATACATACTACAACATAGATGAATCTTGAAACATTATTCTAAGTAGAAAAAACTAGTCATAAAATATTCACATATTATATGATTCCACCTACATGAAATGTCCAGAATAGGCAAATTTATGGAGACAGAAAGTAGATTAGTGGTTCCCTAGGGCTGGGGAGACTGGAGAGGTGACTACTAAAGGGTACAAGGTTTCTTTTTGAGGTGATGAAAATGTTATAAAATTGATTTTGGTAATGGTTACAAAGCTCTGGAGTATATAAAAACCACTGAATTGTACACTTTAAATGGGTGAATTGTATGATATGTGAATTTCATGTCAATAAAGATGTTATTTTTTAAAAACACTTAAAAACATTTTTAACTTGCAGGCCGTAAAAAAAAAAAACAAGCTGTAGGCCTTTGGCTTGTGGCCAAAGTTTACTGACAGCTGATCTATATTCCTACCTTTCCTCCTCCATACCCAGGTTATTTTGTAGCAAATCCCAGACATCACGTCAATTCATCCTCAGAAATTTCAGTATATATCTCTAAAAGATAAGGACTCTTAAAAAAAATAATAACCACAGTATCGCTAACATTTCTTAAAAAAATAGGGGGCCGGCCCAGTGGCGCAGCGGTTAAGTTCGCAGGTTCCACTTCGGCGGCCTGGGGTTCACTGGTTCAATCCCTGGTGTGGACATACACACTGCTTGGCAAGCCATGCTGTGGCAGGCGTCACACATATAAAGTAGAGGAAGATAGGCACGGATGTTAGCTCAGGGCCAGTCTTCCTCAGCAAAAAGAGGAGGATTGGTGGCAGATGTTAGGTGAGGGCTAATCTTCCTCAAAATAATAATAATAATTTCTTAAGATCATCAAAAATACCCAGTTAGTTTTCAGGATTCCCTGATTAGCTCATAGAGTTTTGTTTTGTTTTATAGTTCTTTGAACAAGATCCAAACGTTTCATTTGTTTGATATATCTGTTAAGTCTATTTCAATCTATAAGTTTCCCCTTCTTTTTTCTTTCTTTTCTTTCCTTGTGGTTTGTTAAAGAAACAGTGATTTTCATCTTTTAGAGTATTCTACAGTCTCAAGTTTGCTAATTATATATGTAGCATCATTTAAAATGATGACTCTGACTCCTTTATTTCTTGTAAAGTTGTAGGTAACACAGAGGCTTAATCATTCAGATTTGAGTTTTTGATAAAGCTACTTTATAGATAACATTGTTGTACTTCTTGTTGCATCACATCAGGAAGGTATAACATCTTAGTGTTTTCTGTTTTTGTGATGTTAAGATTGATCAGTGAATTCAGCTGTTGTCAGCCTGATCCATCCTTTATAAAGTTTCCTGTCAGCTTTCACCTAATTTTAGTAATGTGTATTTTAGTAGGCTTTGCAAAATGGTACTATATTAAGCCTAACATTTATTTTCCATTTATTAGCAGTATACCTCTGTAAAGAAGAACTTTTCTTCATCAACTGTTTCGTTATACTGAGGTTCAGTTTGTACAAGGAGGGCAGGATAAATGCTTGCTTCTTTTCCCTATTCACAGAATTTTGTGATAATGAGTTTGTTCTCTCTCCTCCAGTGAATTGTTTTATCATTATGAACCTAGATTTAGAAATATTTGATATGTTTTAATCCACTGTAGTTATTGATGCTCAAAATGTCCCATCTTTGGCTGGTAGGAGCCTTTCCAAGCTGGCTCCTGAGACCCTTTGACATGACCCTGCAGTCTGATAGTTCTCTTGCTTTCAGTATTTTCTTATTCTTGAAATTATCCTGATTTACACTACTTAAAAAGTAACTTGTCCTTTTTTAAAGCTTAGAATAATAAAGACTCTCTTGGAAAAGATTCTTTTCTTTTCTTTTCTTTTTTTTGAGGAAGATTAGCCCTGAGCTAACTGCTGCCAATCCTCCTCTTTTTACTGAGGAAGACTGGCTGTGAGCTAACATCCATGCCTATCTTCCTCTACTTTATATGTAGGATACCTACCACAGCATGGCGTGCCAAGTGGTGCCATGTCTGCCCCCAGGATCCAAACTGGCGAACCCTGGGCTGCCGAAGCAGAACGTGTAAACTTAAGCACTGCACCACTGGGCCGGCCCCAAGATTATTTTCTTATCAACAAAGAGTCAGTGTTCCTCTGTGGTCAATCCCAAAACTTCTGTATTCTAAGTCACTTCCTTGTACCTGCAGAGGCAACCCTGTAATACAAAATTTTAAGAGACCTAGCTTAACTTGAATTAACTCTTAAATTTGACTATCAGTAACACATTGTGGGTTGTAGAATATAGTTGGGATTAAAAATAGAGTTTTAGTCTAGTTTTATAATTTGATTTCTCTCAGTTTCCAAGACTCTTTGTTCTATATTTGGAAAAAATGTTGTTTGCTATTTAATAAGAGTTTATTTGGGACAATAATTTTTGAGTAATGCTTTTAAAATTTTTCCTTAATTTTTAAAAATTTGCTTTGCTGAGCAATGTTTTTTTTATTACAGGTGCTGGTCGGATTGAATTATGTTCTGGCTTATTGGAAGGAGGAACCACACCCAGCATGGGTAAGTGTCCATGTTTTTTGATTTTCAGATTTTCTTATAGGAGTTTCTAGAACCTGGAGACAATTGATAATCTGTTTCATTGAGATACTCTACTAATGTTTCTAATGTGGTAACTATGCAAGTGCTTATGGTTGTAAATAACCTTGTCTGTCAAATATGTGCTCAGATAGGTGTTTTTTTCCTCATACATCAAAAAGTTGAGAGGTAGGGGGAAGTGACATCAGCAACATGCCAGAGTGAGCTGTTCGCTTTGTCTCTCTCCCTTTGAACTACAACTAAATGAACATTCATTGATCAGTGGAGGATACCTGCAAAACACATCAGGACGCCTGAGAGACCCACACAGCTATACATCGGAAGGTGGATGGACTACCCCCCAGGGAGGTAGTGGAGATAAGTGAGCACTGTCTGGCCTCCAGGCAGCCCAGCACACACGTACAACTACTCTCCCAGCTGGAGCACTCATAGCACCACTGCAGCCCTGAGGGTGGGAATGCACCATGGCATGATTGCAGGAACAGGTGACAGCAGCCCTAAGCCCCTGCATAATTGCTTCCTTGTCCAGTGGGAGAGCCTACAGTGCCGTCTGGTCCACAGGGAGCTGCTCAGGCTTGGACCCAGTGGGGAGGCCCTGCCCACCCAATACAATGGCTGGTGTGACCTAGGAGCAGACAGCAGCAGATCTGCACACCCAGGCAAACGAGCTCCCAGCTGCTGCAAACACCCATAGTACCGCTGTGGCCCCAAAGAGGGGAGGGCACGTCTTGACAGGTCTGTGGAAGCAGGCAGTAGCAGCCCTGATCCCCTGCGTGATTGCCTTCCTGTTCGGTGGGAGAGCCCACAGGGCTGCTGTGGTCCCAAGGAGTGGCCCAGGCTTGGACGGGCACAGCTGACAGGGATCACAGTGGACTCAGAATACACGGCTCCTGCCCCCCACCCCCCACCCTGACGGCAGGTGGAACCTGTAATCAGACACTATCACTATGCGAAAGCAGAAATCCACTCCATCAAGTAGGATGAAGAAATATATTAATACTCCAGACCAGAAGGAAAAAGACAAACACTCAGAAATCAATCCTGAAGGCACAGAAATCTACAATCTAAATGACAGAGTATTCAAAATAGGTATCATAAAAAAACTCAACAAGTTGCAAGAGAACTCATACAGTTCACTGAAAACAGGAACAAAATTAATGAACAGAGGGAATTCTTCCCAATAGAGACTCAAGCTATAAAAAAAAACAAATCAGAAATGTTGGGGATGAAAAACACAATGGTTGAGATAAAGAAAAACCTGGAGTCCTTAAATAACAGAGCTGATACTATGGAGGATAGAATTAGCAATCTAGAGGGTAGGAATATCAAAATGCTTCAGAAGGAGGAGAGAACTAAGACTAAAAAGAAATGAAGAAATTCTCTGAGAAATATCTGACAATTAGGAAATGCAACATCAGGATTATAGGTATTCCAGAGGGAGAAGAATGGAAGAAACGAGCAGAGAGCTTGTTCAAAGAAATAATAACTGAGAACTTCCCAAACCTGGAGAAGGAGCTGAAATTACATGTAAATGAAGCCAGTAGAACTCCTAACTACCTCAATGTAAAAAGATTTTCTCCAAGGCATCACAATCCCTGACTTCAAAACATACTGCAAAGCCATAGTAATCAAAACAGCATGGTACTGGTACAAAAACAGGTGCACAGATCAATGGAACAGAATTGGAAGCCCAGAAATAAAACCACACATCTGTGGACACCTAATCTTCAACAAAGGAGCTGAGGGCATACAATGGAGAAAAGAAAGTCTTTTCAACAAATACTGCTGGGAAAACTGGACAGCCACACGTAAAAAAATGAAAATTGACCATTCTTTTTCACCATTCACAAAAATAAACTCAAAATGGATGAAAGACCTAAAGGTAAAACCTGAAACCATAAGGCTTCTAGAAGAAAACATAGGCAGTACACTCTTTGACATCAACATTAAAAGGATCTTTTCAGGCACCATGTCTTCTCAGATGAGGGAAACGATGGAAAGAGTAAACAAAGGGCACTTCATCAGACTAAAGAGCTTCTTCAAGGCAAAGGAAAACAGGATTGAAACAAAAAAACAAACCACCAGATGGGAAAAAATAATTTGTAAGTCATATATCTGACAAAGGGTTAATCTCCATAATATATAAAGAACTCACACAACTCAACAACAAAAAATCAAACAACCTGATCAAAAAAATGGGCAGGAGACATGAACAGACATTTTTCCAAAGAAGATATATGGATGACCAATAGGCACATGAGAAGATGTTCATCATCACTGATTGTCAGGGAAATGCAAATCGAAACTACACTAAGATATCACCTTACACCCATTAGAATGGCAAAAATAACCAAAACAAAAAGTAACAAATGTTGGAGAGGTTGTGGAGAAAAAGGAACCCTCATACACTGCTGGTGGGAATGCAAACTGGTGCAGCCACTATGGAAAACAGTATGGAGATTTCTCAAAAAATTAAAAATAGAAATACCATATGACCCAGCCATCCCACTATTGGGTATGTACTCAAAGAACTTGAAATCGGCAATTCCAAAAGTCCCAGGCACCCCAGTGTTCATTGCAGCCTTATTTACAATAGCCAAGATGTGGAGGCAACCTAAGTGCCCATCAACTGATGATTGGATAAAGATATGGTATAGATATACAATGGAATACTACTCAGCCATAAAAAAGGATAAAATCGTCCCATTCACAACAACATGGATGGACCTTGAGGGTGTTATGTTAAGTGAAATAAGCCAGATAGAGAAGGACACTCTCTGTATGACTCCACTCACATGTGGAAGTTAAACATGTAGACAAAGAGAACAGATTAGTGGCTACCAGGGGAAAGGGGGAATGGGGGGGATGAGCACAAAGGGTGAAGTGGTGCACCTACAACATGACTGACAAACAACTGTACAACTGAAATTTCACAAGGTTGCAAACTATCATCTTCTCAATAAAAAGTTTAAAAAAAAAGACCTTCTTCAAGGCATATATTAGTAAAACTGGCAAAGTCAATGACAAAGGAAAAATATTAAGGGCATCACAGCAGAAGAAAATAACCTACGAAGGAATCTCTATCACACTTTCAGTGGAAACCTTACAGGCTAGGAGAGAATGAAATGATATATTCGAAATTCTGAAACACAGAAACTTTCAGCCAAGAATACTCTATCGAGTGGAAATGTCCTTCAGATGTGATGAAGAAATAAAAACTTTCCCAGATAAACAAAAGCTTAGGGAGTTCATCACCACAAGATATGATCAGGAAGGCCCTCATACCTGGAAAAAAAAGGGGAGGAGGGGTTACAAAGCCTTGAGCAAGAAAATAAATAGGCAGAGAAAATCAGAAAATTGCAACTCTCTATCAGGACAGATAGCAAACAATTATAACTCTAAAGATAAAGGGAAGGAAAACATAAAAAATAAATATACTCACTTCATTTTAACCACCAATTTCACAACACAAAACTGAGTAAGTTGTGACAACAACAACTTAGAAGGGGAAGTGGAAAGGGATGGAACCTGCTTCGACTAAGGGAATAAGAGGCTATCAGAAAATGGACTAGTTCATCTATGAGATCTTTTATACAAACCTCACAGTAACCACTAAACAAAAAATTGGAACAGAGACACAAATGATGAATAAAGAGAAAACTGAGAAAACCATCATAGGGAGCCATCAAACTGAATTGGCAGTCTGAAATACATGGGACAAGAAACAAGGGAAATACAGAACAACTGGAAAACAAGTGATAAAATGGCAGCATTAAGCCCTCATATATCAGCGTAAATGGATTGCATTTCCCAATCAAAAGGCACAGTGGTGGATGGATTAAAAAACGAGAGCCAACAATATGCTACCTCCAGGAAACACATCTGAGCTCTAAAGACACACAGGCTTAGAGTGAAGGGATGGAAGATGATACTCCAAGCTAATGGCAAACAAAAGAAAGCAGGTGTTGCCATACTTATATCAGACAAAGTAGACTTTAAGATGAAAAAGACAATGAGAGACAAAGAGGGGCAGTGTATGATACAAGGGATGCTCCAGCAAGAAGACATAACACTTATGAACACGTATATACACCTAACAGGACCACCAAAGTACAAATGAAAATGGAGACAAATGAAAATACACCATACCAACTCATAGGGGATTCAGCAAAAGCAGTCCTAAGAGAGAAATTCATAGGAATATAGGCCCACTTTTAACAAAAAAGAAAAATCTCAAATAAGCAATCTTAAACTACACCTAACAGAACTAGAAAAAGAACAACAAACAAAGCCCAGAGTCAGCAGAAGGAGGGAAATAATAGAAATTAGAAAAACAGAAATAGATGAAATTGAAACAAAAAAATAATAGAAAGAATTGATGAAACTAAGAGCTGGTTCTTTGAAAAAATAAACATAATTGACAAGCCCTTAGCCAGACTCACTAAGAAAAAGAGAGAAGGCTCAAATAAATAAAATTAGAAATGAAAGAGGAGGAATTACAATAGATATCACAGAAATAGAAACTATTCTAAGAGAATACTATGAAAAACTATATGCCAACAAATTGGAGAATCTAGAAGAAATGCCTAAATTCTTTGACTTAACACAACCTCCGAATACTGAACCAATAAGAAATAGAGAATCTGAACAGACCAATCACAAATAAAGAGGTTGAAACAGTAATCAAAAACCTCCCCAAAATTAAAGTCCAGGACAAGATGCCTTCTCTGGAGAATTTTACCAAACATTCAAAGAAGATTTAGTACTCATCCTTCTCAAACTATTCCAAAAACTTAAAGAAGACACAACACTTCCTAACACATTTTATGAGGCCGACATCACCCTTATCCCAAAGCCAGACAAGGACAACACAAAGAAGGAACACTACAGGCCAATATCACTAATGAACATAGATGCAAAAATCCTCAGCAAAATATTGGCAAACCAAATACAGCAGTACATCG